TATAAACGGTGTATAGAATTATCATGCTTTAATTTCATTCTTAGAAAATGAAGCTGGCCCTAATACATTTAAGACAAAATCAACATTAAAAGGTGTCACTGTTTACCCACAAACACCTGATAAATATCGAAAATTAAATTCAAGTCTACGAAATAAAGGCGCGTCCTTTCACACCTACCAACTCCCACAGGACAGGTGCCCAAGAATTGTTGTTAAATATCTCCATCATGGAACACCAGTCGAGATAATCAGAGAAGAATTTAAAAATATGGGCTATGAAGTAACAAATGTGGTAAACGTAATATCTCGATTTAAAAAACCTCTTCCTATGTTTTTCGTAGACGTTACAAAAGAGACATTCAGAGAAGACATTTTTAAAATTGAGTTTTTATATTACTCTCACATTAAAATCGAAGAACCACGTCAGAAGCGAAGTATTCCTCAGTGTGTTCCGTGTCAGCAATATGGGCACACTAAAACATATTGCAATCATCGACCACGCTGTGTGAAGTGCGGCGAATATCACGAAAGCAGCTCATGTTTAAAAACTAGAGAGACTCCCGCTAAGTGCGCCAATTGCAGTGGTCAGCACCCGGCTAACTACAGAGGCTGCCAGACGCTGAAAGATCTCAGGGTTCAGCGCAATGTGAGAAACCGTCTTCAGCGTCCCACAGTAGCAGAGCCAGCACAGGGACCTCCAGGCATCCATGAATTCCCTCCAATACGGCAGCGGAACAACCAGGCGGAACCACAGAACATCGCTGGACCTCAACAGCAACATAATCAACCATCATCGAACTCAGCACCCCAGAACCAAAAAACATGTACAGGTAGGAGGGGAGGCATTACCCAGACGGTACCTCCGGTAGATAATAGCTCTTCCCAGTTATTTAATATCATTAATGGGTTAAATAACTTAATCCAGCCCCTTTTCATTCTTCTTCAACAGCTATCACAGTTTACACAGGTCTGGTGCCCTAATTATGTCCCACAATAATTTAACTGTGGATTCTCTGTCAATTCTTTTGTGGAATGCCAACGGACTGACCCAACACAGTACTGAACTTGACTTATACTTGCACGAAAAACGGATTGACCTAGCACTCATTACTGAAACACACCTGACACCTCGATCAAAAATTTACATCCAGGATTACTCTATTTATAGAACTGATCATCCAGACAAAACTGCACATGGAGGAACAGCGATACTCGTAAAAAAATCACTAAAACACAATCCCATAGACTTACCCATTACACCCGACATACAATCAACAGGAATAACATTATACACTAAACACTACACTATAAAATTTGCCTCAGTTTACTGTCCCCCAAGGTACAAGCTTACACCCACGATGTTTTCTGAGTTCTTCAAACGTCTCGGAAGATGCTTCATCGCAGGTGGAGACTATAATGCTAAGCATCAAGGCTGGGGTTCAAGGTTGTCTACTCCAAGAGGCAGAAATCTCTGGTCTGTTCTCCATGAACTTTCATTAGACACTGTAACTCCAAATTCACCCACTTATTGGCCCACCTCCAGACGCAAAACTCCCGACTTACTTGACTTCTTTATTACAAAAGGACTTAGAACCGTACCTTTTGCCGTCAATACAAGCTCTGATCTTTGCTCTGATCACTCCTCGGTGCACATGGTTCTCTTCGACGCGCCTTCTGAAGCACAAAAGAGACCTAAGCTCATAACAGGTCGCATGGACTGGGACGCATATAGAGACCATTTGAACACCAATATTTCTGTTCCAGGTTCAATTAAAAATCAAGAGGAACTAGAAGAAGCCGTCGAAACTTTTACAAAAAGTATACAAGATGCAGCATGGTCCTCATCAACATCTAGGTCACAAAGAGCAGTGAACTTGCCCCAGTATCCTATGTACATAAGGGACTTAATCAGGGCAAAGAGAAGAGCTCGTAAAGTATGGCAGACTAATAGACTTCCTTCAGACAAACAAACTTTTAACAGATTGAACAACGAACTTAAAAGACATATTCAAAAATTCAAAAGCACTAACTACGACAATTTTATTAACAACCTTTCGACAGACGATGGAAGTTTATGGAGACACACAAGGAATCTTTTAAAGCATCGTGAGGTGTCAGCACCCCTACGAAGAGAGGATGGTTCTTGGGCTGTTTCGGACGAAGAAAGATCTGAACTCTTTGCTACTCATCTTTCCTCTGTTTTTAAATCACATACTGACTTCGTTAATACAGAACATGATATTTTCGTACAAAATAACTTAGACATACCATTACAGCTCACACTACCACCACCTCCTTTCACACCATCACAAGTTGCACAAGAAATTAGACAATTACCGAAAAGAAAAACCCCTGGTCATGACTTGATAAATGCTGAGGCGCTCCAGCAAATGCCAAGGAAAGCTCTAGTGTTTCTCACCACAATCTTCAATTGCATTCTTAGCACCACAAAATTTCCAATACAATGGAAATACTCTCATATAACCATGATTAAAAAGCCAGATAAAGAAACTAACAATCCTTCTTCATATAGACCGATTAGTTTGCTTCCAGTGTGTTCTAAATTATTTGAAAAACTATTATACTCACGACTATTACATATACTAACAGACAAACAGATTATTCCTGACCATCAATTCGGGTTTCGAAAATTACATTCAACAACACATCAATTACACAGGGTAACTGACTACATATCGACAGCACTAGAGCGAAAACTATATGCAACCGGAGTATTTCTGGATGTCGCCCAAGCTTTCGACAAAGTATGGCATCAGGGGCTTCTCTTCAAACTCAAGACCATACTTCCACCAACCTACTACTTAATTCTTCACTCCTTTCTCTCAGACAGATTTTTCTCCGTTCGGCATGGTTCAGGTCTGTCCTCAATTCGACCTATCTTAGCTGGCGTACCTCAGGGGTCAATCTTAGCCCCACTACTGTACATAACATACACACATGACATTCCTCAAAGTATCCACACACTTACAGCAACCTACGCAGACGACACTGCTATCATTACTAGACACGATAATCCTACACAGGCATCACTTAACCTACAACATCACTTACAAAAAATTAACGATTGGTGTAAACTATGGAAAACTCAAATAAATTATCAAAAGTCACAACACATTACATTTACTCTAAGACTAGAAACATGCCCTGCTGTATACTTAAACAACATACCGATTCCACAAACAGATAGAGTACAATACCTAGGCCTGACGTTTGACAGAAGAATGACATGGGGTCCACATGTAAAGAAAAAACGTGCATCACTAAATCACAGATTAAAACTATTGCATTCATTATTAAGACGGCATTCGAAATTAAAAGCAAGACAGAAATTAAATATTTATACATATCTATTAAAACCTCTCTGGACTTACGGACTACAAATATATGGAATTGCAAAACCAACACACATAAAACGACTTCAAACTTTTCAGTCTAAGATACTACGACTAATTACCCAAGCACCCTGGTACGTGAATAATAACACTTTACATACTGACTTACACATGCCAACGATCAATGAACACATACGAACTTACTACAAACGATTCCATAATAAATTACATGGACACTCCAACCAGCTAATTAATGAAATGGCCACGACTATTATGCCGGAGAACTCCAGAAGACGACTGAAAAGGGTCTGGATGAGGGACCTACTTACGTAATTGTATGTAAGTAAGTAAAAGCCATGGAAAGGATGCCGCTGGGTATTGCTTTTCCTCATGCCTATCAAGCCATTTTATTTATTTTTTTTTTTTTTTTTATTATTTTTTTTTTCTCATGACTCTGCCAGCACATCTGCTGATTGTCAATAGTTATAATTGACAGGTGCGGATAAATATATGTAAGTGCAAAAAAAAAAAAAAAAATTTGTTTCCAAATCAAATGTATGCCAAATATTTATGATCTGTGAGCCTTCAATTTTAATTTCAATGCTGATATCCAGTTTTCATTTACACAGTTCATTGGCGGTTTGTTTTGTTAATTTATTTTTGCAAGGTAATTGTTTTTTCTAGTTTGAAAATAATAAGATTATGTTTATATAGATATAAATTAAATATTTTATATTTTGCAGTTATACTGAACAATTGTTTCCATTCACGTTTAAATATAGAAATTATATTGTAAAATTATAATTACACAGCAGAAAAAAATAGATTCATCTTTCCTTACATTACATAAAAATTAAATATAATTTAGATATTTAAGACCATTTAGATATTTTGCCGCCTTAACAAGCTTGCTCCATCTCTGCGTTTCATGGGCTATTTCTTTCCATTTATCTCCACGTAGCCCTGTTGCATCTTTGTTGATTCTATCTATCCATCCGCTTTTTGGTCTTTTACCATTTATTGAGGCATTCATTGTTATGGAAAGGCTTCCATATGGATTGTTAGGAGCCATCCATGCCCCGCCCATCGTATCATGAGATATTGATTGCCTAGTTTCTGTAATCAGTTCTTTATTGGTCTTTCTTCTCCATGTGTTAGTGCCCTGATCTCAGATCGCTCCGGTTATCGTGCGGAAGATTTTACTCTCAAGTCTTTCAACACTTTTTTCTAGGATCCTGGTTAGTGCCTAGGTCTCACAGCCATGTATTAGAACTGGCTTTATCGTAGCATTGTTCACCCTTAGTTTGAGATTTCTTGGGATTTTTCGAGATTTCAATACCTTTGAGAGGGAGAAGAAAGCTCTGTTTGCGCTAGTTATACGCTGGTCTATTTTTTCTGCTCGTTGTTCATTGATTGAGGTTATTGTGGAGCTGAGGTATTTGAATTTTCTACTCTCGGAAATGGTTTTCCTTATTATTCCGGAAATGGGCAGATCCTGTTATTGGGGTGGACTTTTCGGCTTATTATCATATATTTTGTTTTGTCTTCATTTACTTGTAGACCGATCTGCTCTATCTCTCTTATCAGTGTTATAGCGAGTTTCTCAATGTCTTCTTGATTACTTCCAAGAATGCTATCTTTTCCTCGCATTTGTGTATTTCTCGCTTTATATCCTACCCTTTCTTTCCTAATGTCTGCGTAGAATTTGCGTATATCTCCATTCTACCAGTTGTCCTCAATAGTTTGTAATCTTTCATTGAGGAATTTTTTTTTCCGATCTTGTAGTTTTGTTTGCCTTTTTCTTGGCAGCTGTGTATTTGTCCTGAGCAACTTGATCAGTTGTAGTTAGGCAGAGGACTTTCACTTTTCTTCTTTGTTCTGTAGCCTTTTCACATGCTTCTGTGAACCATATCTTAACTTTTCCCTTTTTCTGAATACGGATCATTTCCTTGGCTGTTTCTTTTAGCCCTTTCACCATTTCTCCCCAGTGTTGGTTCACCGTGAGGCTATCTTAATCCAAGGGTTCGAATTAATTTTTCACCTCATATCAAATATAAAATATCATTGCATTATAAAAAAATATCAAATTACAAGAATAAAAGTTTTATTAAATATATATGTTATTTTGATTAAAAAAATCATCAGTATTAACATATTTTATAAAAATGTTTCTGTCAGATCAGCTGCACCAGGGTATTATTTTTTTTCTTAATTATTCTAAACCATGAAATTAGCATATTATAAATTATTTAAAAAGAATGTAATTAATTAACATTAGCCGCCAAGTTGTCATGTAATTAATAATAAATTAATTCACTTGAATTAAATTTTATTAAACAAATTACTTGTTTTTTATAGGTGTGGAAAAAAAAAAACGGGATAGCTGAAAATAAACTTCATTTTTTCATTTATCTCATTACTCGTTGCTTAACTAACGTTTAGTGTTCCAATCTTACTTTTGCCGCCTTACAAGCCTGCTCCATCTCTGCCTGTCTTGGGCTATTTCTTTCCATTTATCTACTCTATTGCATCTTTGTTGATTCTATCTATCCATCTACTTTTTGGCCTTCCACGTGGCTGTTTAATTTATTCATTGATTAAAATTTCTAGGTATAACAATAGTACTGACGGATCCACGAAGGATCTATCGGACTGAATCTCCTTCTAGGAACTCCTGGTGATCTTAAACAATCACAGTAAGTTCTTTTTTAAAACTAAAACGCTTGTATTTCAGATAATAAATGTTAGCACGAGTTAAGAAAAAAATATTAAAAATTATTCCTAGAAACGTTATTGTTTCTAATTTTTTTTTTTTTTTTTTTTTTAACAGTCCTCCAAGGATCGCTTGAATATTATTTTCTTTTATATAGTTTCTTTCTTTTTCTTCCAGAGTATTTACCGTAATTAAAAAAAAAAAAAATCCAAACACCTCAAAAAAAAAAAAAATCCAAACACCTCAAAAAAAAAAAAAAAAAAATATATATATATATATATACATCTTGGATTCGGTACTAAACTATAGGATATGTAAATGGAATCAACCTTTCTGTGTATGAATAATGAAAAAAAAGGTATTAAAAAAATATTAAACTGTTTGAAAACAAATTTTAAAGTTATTGTTCAAAAGCTTTATCTGGTGACAGACTGTACTCTGTATATTTAAAACCATTTCACGTGACGATTATAAACATGTTTACCTTTACTAGTTACTTAACACGTTTTTCTTATTAATAATTTTAGGGGAGTTTTTTAATAATTACCATCTTGTGATTATTCTAAGAGAAGGATAACCGCAGAGAATTCAAACTGAAAGGCGGGCGAAGTTAGTTTGAGTTGTGGACACCAGGCTCATGTTGATAACCTTATCTCTTTCCAGTGAATAGTCAACTTCGGCTTCAGTCTGAGTTCGACCTCGTCTCACAATGGTTCCATTTTGATTCCACTCGGTTTTTATTTTCACTCACTTACGTCGTTTTAATTTTTTTAAGCATTTTTATTTACAACTAAATAATTTTCCTTTTTATTCCGTATTTCCATAACCCATTAAAATGGCTGATAATAAGGTCAAACCTAAAGAAATTCCAAATTACATGAAATTTGTAATAGGTGGTTGTGCAGGGTGAGTCAATTACAAAAATGATAAATCCACATACTTTTTTTTTTTTTTTTATCAACAGCTGTTTTATCCTCTAATTTGTAACTCAGGATGTCAGGTACCCTTTTCGTCCAACCTTTGGATTTGGTTAAGAATCGAATGCAGCTGAGTGGTATAGGAACAGCGAAGAAAGAATACACGTCCAGTTTTAATGCCATTTCCAAAATATTCAGAAATGAAGGTTTATTCGCTTTTTACAATGGTCTATCAGCTGGTCTCCTGAGGCAGGCAACTTACTCCTCGACAAGACTGGGAGTTTACACATGGCTTTTTACCAAATTTTCAAAGTTAGTATAATTTTCTATATTTACTCATATTCAGTGCTTCGTAAACATAACATATGAGCTGTTAACAAATTCTAAAATATAAAATCTTAACTTGCATAATAATATATTAGATATTTGAGCACCTTTCTTCAATTTTATAATATTTCACAAACTTTCATTTAAACCTGGAAAAAATTGATTGATATCAACAAAATAACTAATTTTACTTCAATGAAGTTGTTATATTTTCTTAATTATAGTTACCTGCCTTATATTATTTAGGATATCAACAGTAAATAATTAATTTCATATGTAATAGAATTAAAATCATATGTTTAATAATTTGTTTTTTAATCACCTTTTTGATTGTAATCCTTAGTGTGAAAATTTCATATAGTCTCAATTTCTTTCAAGATTCCGCCCACATTTGTAACTTCATCTGTTTCTAATTACAAGTTTAATTAAAATATAGAAATTGTTAGAAAAGAACTCTTAAGCTTTTTACTCACTTTAAATAATTATTTCTTTGTTTAAATCATCAATTTATTAAGAATTAAAAAATGAATATATTTTTTTTTGCACGGAATAGTTGCTTCCTCAGAGTTAAAGTATAATTATTGAAAAAAAAAAAGTGGTCATGATTTTTAATATTTAGTTAATCCATGATCAAAATTATTAGTATTTTCATACAAAATTAATAGTTCCTTCTTGTTTTTTTTATAAATTTACTTTTTTTCTTACTTTTATTCATTAAAATTAATATTAGAAAATAATTTAAACAGAAGGTGCTTATGAATGCCTAATTCTCTTACCTGATTTAATGACCTTATAGATACTAATTTCCTGCTTTCACTACTTTTGAGCTGACACAATTCAGCCAGTAAATTATGTTCAGTCAGAAATGTAATTAACTTCAACTGGAAGAAAACAATTAAGTAAAATACTATTGTAATCAGTGAATTTTCTTGCATACAAATTGCTAATTGTGGTGTGATCATCATTATAAAACAAATAAATCGAAATCAGATTTGACTAATAATAATATGAAATTTAATCATGTGTTTTTAAGGTCATATGAAAAACATAATATTCTATGTAAAATGAATATTTTTTTTTGGGTTTCAAATTTGATCAAGAATTTATAATAAAAAGTAGTTTATACATTCACAGTTTTGCTGTGAATGGAGATCAATAGATATAAGTGTTTAAAGAGTCATTCACTCAGTTATGGAAAGAATTTTTTGTTCACCACCAAGTTTTTGGATATATTGAGTGACTCAACAATTGACCCTTTGAGGTCATCCCACATTCTGAAAGAATAGTGAACTATAGTCAGAATATTTGCCTAATATTTAGTTATATATTTCCTGTAGTGATTTGTCAAATATTATTAGTAATGTTGATTACATTGTTTGAATGTTTACAAATTTAAATGTTGTTTCTTTATTTTCATTTAAACTGAGGTAATTATATTGTGTGTAATAATTTCAACGAAAGATAATTCAGACTTGCTTAGTCCAGTCATATGGTATTTAATATCTTTATTGCTCCTCTGAATTATATATTCATAGTTTGGGTGAATAACTCCTTACTGGTTTCAAGGTCAGTGGTTTAGAATTGAATAAAGCAATTTAAATGGTAAACAGTAATTTTTTCTTTTAATTATGTCGGCTTAGTTGTATTCACTAGGTATATATCTAGTATTAAGCAGTCATCTGCCCCAACTTGATTATGTAAATTAAGAAATTAGGGGAACTTATTTTTGTAGTCCTATCCTCCTATATCCTTCCTGTAGTCCTTCAGTTGGTAATTCCTGGACCACCTGAAACAGGTTGTCCAATCTTGTGTCTTATTTTGTCATCATTTTGCCAACATGTTTTCCATAGTTCTTGGATCCTATTATTCCATTTGTTATTTTTAAAAAGAGAAGTTCAACTTTGAAATTCTTTATGCACCAGCAATGATTTTAATTCAGATGATCTATATTTTTTCTTGTGAGGTATCTTTGAATACCAGTTTGTTGTGGTTTTGAATTTTATTTTTTTTAGTTTTCTTTCTCAATTATTAGACTAGATAAAGTATAATTGTTTTCATTTCTGAAAAGTAATTTAACAAATCGTAGTTAAAGGTTAAATTGCGGTATTTAAATCTTTGCTCCATGATTAACAAAGACATATTGCACAAATCAGTAGTTTCCTATTATCTTTAATTCTGCACTTAACAACAGTTTATCATTCATTGCCATCTGGCTGTCATGTGATTAATAACAGACCATTTTTCATGAAATTATTAACATGTGTCTAAAATTTCGTGAATGGCTCCATCTTATTGTAACTTACAACTTTCTTATTTTGAGAAATGTGACATTTACAATCTAGAGATCGATAAACTTTGTCTATTTAATTTGGTAATAAAAACTCATAAACAATTGCTTTCCACTTGAATTGTAAGATATTTTTATCAGAAAATCGAGAAAAAGATGGTCTGCAAAAATATTGGGCCATTCACCCCCAACATGACATAAAAATAAAGTTATATGGACCAAACAGCCCAATATGTTTGTAAGCAATATTTTTTCTTGATATTGTGATCAAATTATTTTACGATTTGAGCAGAAGCAAATGGGTTTTCATGAATACTTAGTGCCTGATTAAATTAATTAATTTAATGAAATAACACCCCACTTCTGAGATATTTCAGTTCAAGTTTTAGACAGATGTTAATAATTTGATAAAAATAGGTCCGTGCCTAGGCCAATAATATTGACCATTTCGTTTGTCGTTGCTAGGAAATTTTGGGATACTAATTTTATTTGTTTTGAAATGACCTTGAATAACAAAATGTCGTTCTCTGGACAAAAGTTGGTATACGCATCACACAATTTAATTTTTTAAATAAATGCACTGCTACAATTTGGTGCATTATATATTTTTAGTACGCGAAGCCTAAAACAAGTTTTAAAAGTTTGTATGGAAATTCCACGAATTTCCATAATATTATATGAAAATGGATACTATTAATCATTAGTTGGTTCATCTTCTTTACCTTAAACAAATTTATTTGCTAGCATGAGTGTGTTCTGTCTCAATGTCCAAATTATTATGGAGGAGACTTCTCTATTGCGTACAATTTTATAAACCCCATCAAATTTAAATTTTAAAAAAATCATAAAATAACAAACATGCTCGAGTCCCCTAGGTAGTTCTCAGAGCTGCCTTGTTACTTATCAGTTCTATCTTACTAATCCTTGTTCTAACTTTAATTAATTAAGAAATACTTTAATAGTTTTTCTTAAACCACTTTTGTTACTTATTATAATGTGAAATGTATAATTGCTTTGAATTAACAAAATTTAACAGTAATATGAATATGAATTTAACAAAAGACATTTAGTGAACTTCTATAATTTAGAATTATGGATTGTAGTTCGGGTTTGACAATACTGTTGGAGTTAAAAATTATCTAATTCTAATTCCTAAAAACTCTTTTTCTTTGTCGACAATGAAAAAAAAAAACAATTTCTCTGGAAATTATACCTCTTTTACCAAAATAAGTGTACATTATCAGAAGGTAATTTTTAATATTAAAATTGAGAATATGCAATTTTTATTTAAAAATATCATATATATATATATATATATATATATATATATATATATATATATATATATATACAATAAAAGGACAGGTACATGATTGGTATTTTAGACTTGAAAATGGCTCAACGAGCTGAAACGTCATAATCAGATGTGTAGTCATTAAGTTGACAAAAAATTTTGAAAATTGGTGTGAAATGGCTGAAAATAAATAAACTTGAAAACATAGATATATATATAGGGAAAAGGATTGGCTTATCTGATAATGTGAAGTTGCCAAATTAAGATGGATTATGGTCAACAATAGATTGTTACATAATTTATTGGCAAAGACAATAGTCCATACAAATATATACCACAATATTTATTTTTATTATTATATTGCACAAAAGGGTGACCATATTCCCTATGGGCGATGCACATGACCCTGCTCCCAAAATTTATTGTTTTTCCCTCATTAAAAACTGTGCAAGAAAGTAAAATTATAATAATTGTAGTTTGATTTTCCCTTTGTTCCTTGGTTTGAAAGTTCTTATGCAGAAATATGGTATCCTCAAAATATTCATAACCCTGTAAATATGTGTCCTTGAAATTTTTGGTGTGCTATGTAATCCCCTTCTGGGTACCTCTGTGTACACATGTATAATATCTTCAAGGTATTTTATTGAAAATTGATTCTAGTGATACTTTTCTTTGATTGATTTTTCTTTTCTTTTTTTTTCCAGCACGGATGGTACGCCACCATCATTCCTTGTAAAGGCTGGACTCGGTAGTCTGGCTGGTATTTGTGGTGCATTTGTTGGCACTCCAGCAGAAATAGCTCTGATCCGAATGACAGCGGATGGGAAATTGCCACCTGCGGAAAGGCGGAATTACACTAATGTGTTCTCAGCGTTGGCTCGAATCACTCGAGAAGAAGGTTTCTTTACACTATGGAGAGGAGTGATCCCAACCATGGGTAGATCTGTGGTTGTTAATGCAGTGCAGCTTGCTACATATTCGCAAGCCAAAGAGCTACTGGAGAAAACTGGTTACTTTACCGAAGGAATATTGTTACATTTCTGTGGTAGTATGATTTCTGGCTTTTTTACAACTGTAGCATCATTGCCTGTTGATATTGCAAAAACTAGGTAAGTAAATAGAATATTTTTTTGTAATTTAGTAAAGAATACTAAAGTAAAGTTATAAAAACTTTGAAATTATCTCCTCTTTAATAAAAATAGAAATGATAACTTAATAATAACACTGACAAATAAATGTATTGGGTTGGCAAATACCTTTCGGTTTTTCTGTTTATTTTTATGTCACTGTGATACACTTCTTATCTGATGAATTAATTCCTAAGGTGGATTGTTTATCCTGTTTGTAATATGTCAACAGCTATATCTGTTAACTCTTGTTGAAACTAGTTTAGCATTGCGTTTGCTATTGCACTGTGAATGTGGAAGAAAATATCATTCATTATCGGCATATTTTGTTGTTTTATTTTAAAAAAGATAAGCGTGCTGTAGAAGCTCATAAAAAATTTTGCAGTGTTTCTGGGGATGATGCCTTAACCGAACGCACCTGTCAAAATTGGTTTGCCAAATTTCATTCTGGAAATTTTGATATCAATGATGCTCAACGGTCTGGTCATCCACATGAAATTGAAACAAGCAATGTTAAGGCCATTGTTGATCAAAATCCCGTCCAATCAGTGCAAGAGATTGCTATGGCCATAAATGTGTCACACAAGGGTAGAAAACCATTTGCTCAAGCTCGGCTATGTTTCAAGACTATTAAATTTTTCTTTAGGGTCCCTCACATGATTTTTTTTCGAAAATCACAAAAAAATGTTATAACTTCAATACGATTATAGCTATCTACAAGAAATTGAACAGGAATTTAGGGCCACATAAACTACACAAAATGACATCTACAGGACCTTCATAAACAAACTACAAATGGAGATAACAAATAAAAACCTATAAGAAGTTTATGTTTATTGATTCCTCATATAGGCATTAAATAAAAAAAAAATATTCATACGGCTTTGAAGAACAATAATTCAGCTTTCCAACGGATATAGTAACATTGAATTTGGAGAACATACTGAAGAGTTATTAATGATCGGAAGGGTGTTGTGTTCCACCGAGACAACGCTAGGTGTTCCCATACCTCATTGGTCACTCGCAATAAATTATTGAGTCTTGGATGGGATCTTGTTGTTCCACCCACCCTATTCACCAGACCAAGCTCCAAGTGACTACCACTTATTCCGGTCTCTGCAGAACTCCATAAATGGAAAGAAATTCCAAAAAGAAGAAGACATCACAAAACCATCAGTTTTTTAACAATAAACTCCAGACATTCTATGAACATAGCACTATGCAGTTAGTGGAAAGATGGGAAAAAGTCATATTAAATAATGGTCAATATATTGTAGATCAAAATAAATTTTATGTCTATAATACATTGAGTTTTAGTTCACTCTGAAAAATTGAAAGGACTTACTTGCCAACCCAATAAAATGAACAATATCGAGTGCATCAGTTTAATATTAGAATTATGGGATGTTCTGTTTTGCTTAATTTGTTTATTTGAAATACTTTCAATTCTTCTTTTTTTTTCTTTTAGCTAGAAAGTTGTATGTTATTCTCAGTTTTTGGCAACAATAACTTCCAATTAAACAACAATTGATTTATTTGTTGTATTTTCAAGTTTATGTTTCGGGTAAATTTACTCCCATCTTCAGAACTACAATAATTGTTCTGAAGTATAATAATATTTAATATGCTCTGTATATTAAATATTATAATTTGTTAAAACATGAATTTAGAACCTGACAATGGAGCACATTAGACTTAAGACATGAATCTACTAAGAAAAATGGGATTGTAGTTCTTAAGATGGGAGTAAATTATTCCGAAACGTAAACATGTAAACTTGGAAATATAACAAATAAATTAATTGTTGTTTAATTGGAAGTTATTTTGTTATTTTTTTTATTTTATTTAGTTTTAGTTTAAATGAAAATATTACTCTCTAAATGTGCCTAAATCTTAAGGCATTTCATGGTGGATATTAATTCATAAGCTATAGGTTTCATTATTACTAGGGAATGGGGAGAAAGAGGGTGTATATTTTTGAAACTATAATTTCAACCATGGTATATTTTTCTTTTTTATTTACTTGTTTTTCAATAACTAGTACTTATAAACCATATTGTAGCACCAATTACATACTTTCTTCAGAAACGGATGCTCATTTTTGGATATAGCTTGTAATGGTAAACTTTTATGATTTAACAGACCCGTAGAATTCTCTATCTTCCCACTTAGAATTGGTTGTTTACTTGTATTGTTATTACAATGTATCCTGCTTGCTACTATTTAAGTACATAAGGAAATCACACTCAATGAACCACTACCAACAATTATTGTTTTTATCTTCTTTTTTTTTTCCTTTTTCAGGATTCAAAATATGAAAATGATTGAAGGAAAACCAGAATTCAGTGGCACATTCGACGTTTTTGTAAAATTAGTTAAAAATGAAGGTGTATTTGCATTGTGGAAAGGATTCACCCCATATTATGCCCGAATAGGGCCCCATACAGTGTTGACGTTTATATTTTTGGAACAATACACCAACTTATTCAAACAATATTGTATGGATTGAAGAACCGATTCCAACGGTTTCGATTAATGTTTTAACCATGACCCACTTCGAGCGGAGTTTTGAAGAGGCTAACATAGCATTAAATGGTTTTATACAATTATTTAAAATTAATTTTAATTGGAAGAAATAAATGACCCTTGGTTTTTAGGTCAGCATAATGGATATTTTAATTAATTTTTTATAGTCAAAATATTGAAAACAGAAAAATGACTTATTATTGCACTTATTCAGTTTCTACCATTCCGCTGTAAAGTTTTAATTTAAATTGTAAATTATTTTAAATTGTACAGTCAACGGGAGGTACCTTCTTGAGATGAGGATATATTTTCTTCCAATATTTTAAAAGTACAAAATAATTTTAAAAACTAAATGGATTATTAAAAACAAAATATAAGAGGTTAGAATATTGCTTGTAATTTTTTTGAGTTGACTGAGATTTATACAAAAAATAAACATAATTGCGATAGTAAAAGATAAAAAATCCAGTATTGTGTAACTTTATTATTACGAATTACACAATTTAGAAGCAGTGCTTAAGATTTTATATGCAAACTTATCATTGATAGTTACTAAAATTGGCCCAAATGTTGCATTTGTGATAAAACAGGGATCGTTCAAGTTCTTAATTTAGAAATTATTTTGAATATATTCCTTCAAACGTAGAAGGTTTTTATAGATTGCTGTATTTATTTATTAAAAAGTACTGTTTTGCCATGGCTTTAAAATGTAGTCTTTCACTAGTTATTGTTTGGAAAGTATTGGGTGTGGTAAGAAAAAAAAAAATATTCGGGACGTGTATAGTGCATTTATAGACTAAAAGGAATTCAAAGCTGCCAGTTCCTATTTTAAACTATTCTTTATAACAGACCTAGACATTTTGAAAATAAGTATTATAGTTAACATTTATAAATTTATCAAATTTTATTTTCTGTATTACAAAAAAATTTTAACAAAGGCACAAGCAAATGAAAGGACATATATGGCCAGTGTTTGTTAAGTGGTTTGTAGTGTTAAAAGTTTTGTTGATTTTTTTAAAATATATATATTTTTGTTAATTTTGATTGAATAATAAATTTTACTTGATAAACATTTTTTATTAATTTTTATTGTCAATTACACGTTAGTTTTCCTTAACGTAGTGACAGATATGCTTGTCACTATTTGAGCAAGTGAGTATCAAAGCAATATGTTATTACTAATTGCATAAATAATGTCAATGCAAGTGGTGTGACGCATTTAGGTGCAGAGTACTTCATCCAAATGGATAAACAATTGCTATTTTAAATAATTATTTATGGTGAGCGTAAATCTGCTCTGTTTAGTATATTTAGAAAAGATTTTTATGATCTTGCGAGGTAAAGTATCTACCTTTGGGGTTAGAATACAGTTGGTTACGTTTTTTGGAGAGAGTGGAGAAAGTGGTATAAAGAAAAATCCGTGCATTAAGGTGCTGTCATTTATCCTTGAAATAAATTATATCTTAATTAATTTAACTCTAGACAGTCTGATAGATAAGGGTAGGCCAGAACTAAGACTAATCCCTGATCAGCATTAAATATATATTACTTAATTTATTTTATTAGGAACAACTTTTTCTATCAGTTAAAAGCAATTAAACTAGTATCTGCCAAAGGATGAATTCATATTATATAATATTTTCTAATTATTAAAATTGAATGTTAATTTATGCAGAGTAATGTATTAAAAGCAAAGATTTACAGCAAATACCAATCTAATTATTAATATAATTAGTTAGTTCTTGGGGATAATTCGCATAGTCGTCAGTGAACAATTGACAATATAATATGGAAATAAGTTAATACAATTTATTATGAGAGGGAAGAATTAATTTTTTTTCTTTGTTTAATTATAATGGTACATTCAAAATAACAAACAAACAAATTTGTTAGAATTACCAATAACCACATTTTTGCTAAAAATTGTCTAATCTCTGTAATTATATTATTTTTTTTTTTTTAGGGAATTTAGAAACCTTATTATCATGATACATTCTATTTATTTCCTTGAGTTAGATTATTTCAATAAAAATTTTAGATATTTGTACAGAAGTTTGCTGCAAGTATTACTTTGTTAATAATTAAATACTTAAATAACACCAGTTAATTATTGGAAAATGTAATATGAGAACAATTCTAGCCCAAGCTCTCGTTTATGCAGATGATATTGTCCTCATAACAGACTCATCCGCAAAATAACAGCAAGCAATTGTGGAATAGGAAGCTGAGCTTGAGAGAAAAGGATCATAAACAGAGAAAAAAAGTAAGATTATGCAGATAGGTCGAGAAATCGAAGACATACAAATAAACTGTAGGGGTGAGAATCTGGAGTTGGTAGAGGAATATTCATACCTAGGGATAGTTGTTGGTAGAAATGGAAAAATAGACCAACAGATATCAAACAAGATCAAAAATATCCTCTATTACCAGATGTGCAACACGGTCTTAGAAAAACGAGAGGTGGAAAATATAACTAAGATCCATGTATACAATACACTCTACCCTCCAACCCTATTGTACGGTAGTGAGAGCTGGGTCCTTCTAGATAGGCACAAAAGTAGACTTACTGCTGCTGAAATGAAATATTTGAGGAGAGAAGCTGGTCGAACTAGAAGAGATTGCATATGAAACGAACGGATTAGAGAAAATGTTAAGGTGCCACCAATGCTGGAAACCGTGGAAAACAAAACGCTCAAATAGTTCGGCCATGTTATGAGAATGGACGAGGACAGGGCCACAGGAAAGAGGCCAAGAGGACGTCCACGGAAAACTTGGATTGAGGAAGTGACCAAGCTCAGACAGAAAAGAGACGAACAGTTGGGTCATATGAGAGACCTGGCAAGAGACCATAATGATTGGCATAAATGGGTGGAGGCCCCTCCACGCTGAAAGACACTAATGAGGAAGACAAAGAAGAAGAAGAAATAACATCAGTGAGAAGATATTTAATGTAAATATGTACAGTGTATCTATGAAAGTACTTTATTTTATTGCTGTTTATCATTTAAATAATAATTTTTTTATTTTCTCTTTTCTGTCACTGCCATCATAGACTTAATTTTCCCCACCTATTGAGAATAAAGCTTATTTTTCTTAATACTGCATCATTCTTTTTGAACGTAGATAAAATCAGTATACGAGTCATGAGTGTTACATATGACCTATAATTATTTCTTTTTTAAAATAATACTGACAAATTGGGAATGCACTCCTAAAAATATTTCAATTAAATACTTGTGATAGTGAATTAAAATACTCATCATGTTTTAGAAAATAACTTCTATCCTACTCAACTAAACAAATCCACTGCAAGGGGCATCTGTTGATTAAGACTGGTACTAATGACCCTGTAAAGAGAATTCCATTAATTCCTCATAAGAGAAACAGTTATGATTTCTGAAAGCTGAAGCAGTATTATTGAAATATCACATTTAGGACTCTGAAAAGCTAAATCAATTATTAAAGATTATTATGTATATGGGATGATTTAGACAGTTTTGTGATCCTTAGTATACATGGAGGTAATATATTTATGTTTTATTACTAATTTCTTAAGGGAGCTAAAACAAATAAACAAGTGAAAAACGAATTTTTCTAATCATACCATTGTATCATGTGGATAAAACATGGTGGTCAAACTGGACTTTAAGACAGCTAGGAGAAAGGAGGTCCAAATGTCAAATCTTTTTATAATAAATGAGGTCTTTAGTTTTGTTTTTTTTCCTTTTTTAAGCTCTTAAAAGAAACATAATTGTATTAGTTTAGATATGAACAGTTGTTTATATTAGTGAAATGGATTGAGGGTCTTGGAAGCAGATAATCGGGAATTTTTTTAGGGGCAGCAATCTTGAAGTTTGTACCAGAAAATTCATGACCGAGCTGTGCATTTGGACTTTGTATTATATGTATGTATATATATAATACTATGACTCTTGACTTTTGGGTCCCGAATTTTTAAGATTCTTTTGGTTTACTGGAAGCAATACTTATCTGCTCCTTCAGTTGATTCTTCTGTAGGGATTTCTCAATTTCATTCATTGTTCGATGGTATGTTATCTCACTTTGTCAGGAAGTTGTTGCTCCCTCATTTCCTGAAATATTCGCTATATCATTTCCACTCATCCCTCAGTGCCCTGGGGTCCAATGGAGGACAACCTTCAACAGCACTTCTATGATCACCTAAAATGTGAGTGTATCAACCAAGGTTCCATCTCTCAAGGTCTAGAAACTGTTAGAATTAATGCCTCAGAATTAATTATAATTATTGTTTTTTGCGCCTCTAGCATTACCAGTCTACATAAAGCCTGCCTAACGACACGAATTTCACTTTCGAAATTTGGAAAATCGTAGACTACACTACCGTGTGGTATCATAGTATTTCCTTACCATTCCTACCCCTTTAAGAGCTGTAAGTTTTTAAACCTTGACGAACCATCGAACGAAAAAGACGAGAATCTTTTTTCTCCGTTTGGCAAGTCAAACGCATTTTCCAAATATCGTATGGGCAATATCCATTGGCTTAATCTTTATTTCAGAAATAAAAATAACACTGTTTACGTTTAGCACTAAAATTCTTCTGTACCACTGCAACAATCATTGAAAGAATTATCTAACGGTTGTCAGTTGACATGTTGACCATGCAAGGTCGATTGTGGTTTTGAAATGGTTTCAACAACTAATGTTGCTAGTACCATTTAAATTCGAGAAAGCAGCTAAATAGAGATAATCTTTAAAACCAATTTTTGATTATAATAAAACAGCTGTTTCGTTTTCAGTTAACTACACGATCGTCGTAATCTTTCGCGTTTTGTTTAGTGTCAAATCATTGTTAGTGTGACAAAATGGAAGTTAGGTAGCTGCTTCTACATTACCTTCAACCGGTCTCTACAAAATGTTAGTGTACCATTTACATTCACAAGAATTAAAATTTATGGCATATACAGGAGATTTGTTTCTTCCCAGCACATTCCAGTTTTTTTGTGTCTGTGTGTTCTCATTTTCTGTGTTGTTTTAATTGGTAGTAATTGATCGAACATTTCATTTCATTAAAATGCGCGCAATGTAACCTTAACGTGATGTGTTATTCCGTCTTATAATATTATTTATATTTATTTTTCCATCAAGAATCAAAATGAGTTTGAAAAGTTCCTCTTGGAGATCGTTCGGCTCCATCTTACTTTCGACATTTCATCTAGAATAGACTTTATTTTTCCCCGATCCGTCATGTGGGTGTGATACTTGAACAAAAGTACTAAGGAAAAGACAAATAAAACCTTAAACTAGTTCATTGACATAATGTAATTTATTTATACAATTATTCGGAACTTTCCGACCATTTGAATAATTTTGGTTCTTTTTTTTTTCCTGTGCCATAGTCATTGGTGATTCGACCATCCGACATCTTGCTGCCTAATATAATTTATATCCGTTAAAGCAGGACATTCGTTTAGGTGGTCTGCATCCATTTCCGCTTGTTCACATAATTTACACCTAGGATCCTCAGCCACGCCTATCTTGTGGAGATGACTTTGTAGATAGTCGTGACCAGTGGCCAGGCGGAAGCATGCTACTGCATCTCTTCTTGGTAGGTCATCTGGAATCGGGTTTTCCATCAAACATGCATAACGTTTCCCTCCCACCTTGTCTTGGTGCATATTTTTTGTTTCCTCCTTCACTACCATCCTCATCATTCACCGAATTGAACCGTAGGATTTTGGATGGACTGTTTGTGGCAATTCTGCTCCCTTTCTGGCGAGACTATCCGCTTCCTCATTTCCTGGAATACTGCAATGGCTCGGAATCCACTGAAGGACCACATTGGTGCCTCGGAGTGTTAGATCGTAGAGAAGGAATTTGCACTCCAAGATAGCACTCGACATTTATTTATAGATAGATAGCACTCGACATACATTTATTCACGTCAGTAATGGCGAGGATTGCTGCTTGCGAGTCGACAAAGAGAACAGCGTTCTGAACTTGCCTTCCTGATAGTGTTCTTAGAGCTGTGAGGATCGCTGCTATCTCATGGTCAAAATTCGTACCATCCTCACCCACCGCAGCACTGAACGTAAACTCCTGCCCCAGCATTTTTGACGGCTGATTCAACTGATCCGTCGGTATAAATGTGAAGCCAATCATGAGGCGGGTACTTTTGAGCTATAGTTTCCAGTGCTATCGCTTTCAGCTCATATTCTGGTGTTTCTTTTTTTATCCACTTATGGAATAGTTGCAGCTGTGCCCTGCTCGCGTGGTTGTGGATTGGGAACTGTGCCTGTATTAATGGCTCCCTTTCTTCACAGTCCAGCTCTCTTTCTTCAAGCAAAGCCTTCGCCTTTAGCATGAAAGATTTTTGGGTCTTGAGCCGTTGAGTTGGGATTTTGTATTTTTTCCAAAACTCTGGATTCGTTCTTCTCATTCGCTCGTGAAGACACACTGCAGCTTGCTCACGCCGTTTCGAAAGGGGTTCTACTTTTGGTTCTTGAGAACCCTTCTCTTCCATGTGAGTTGCATATCGAGAAAAAATGCAATGGAAAATTATACAAGCATCTTTAAAACAGCTACAAATTTTATAAATTGTTTATAATATATTGCAATAGTTATTGTTCAAACCATAATTAAACATATGAAATATACATTGTTATAATTCTATTTACTAGTAATAATCTGTGGTCTATAATATGCTTTACGTCAAGCAAAGATACAAGAAGTAAAACTCAGGAATATACATTGATTATTCATGTTCCTCGTTATTTAAATTCGGTAATAAAAAACACATTTATGATAAGTGCTACATTATATTAGGATTATAAAATGATCCTATTTTATGAAAAAGTGAGTTTATCTGAGCATGGAAGACACCAGAGATCCCAGACATATCGACCATCGAGGAGAATTATAATAATAAGTGAAACTGAATATCACTTGAACCGAAGTATTTTGGAAGATTTATGTTTATATATAAGCTCAATGTGGATTGATACCAACCAATTAGAAATTTATTTAAATCTTTAAAGCACATTGTTAGAAAAAACAATATTTGTCAGATGATTTTGTAGAATTATATAAATTTCTCACTATAACCACAATTTTTGCAAAAATTCTCACTATGGCCAACAAAATTAGCGGTGCCTTGAGAGTGTATAACTGTTAATGGATCTTCTGATTAGATGACCAATGGATAGGGTTGCGGTTTGAGATGTTCCAGAAAATGGAATCGAAAGTAGTTCAGTTTAGATCTCTCTGAGCAATAGTTCAGTAATGAAATTTTAGTTAGCAATACCATTTTCAATATTTTATAAAAATGGAGAAAGAGAAACCCAAGGATATCCCTAATTATATGAAATTTATCATTGGCGGCGCTGCAGGGTGAGTATTTAAAAAAATATATTTATTATTATTTACACATAAAAATATATTATCTGTATCAACAGCTATTACGGCTATATTAAACCAACTGGCTTCTTGTGTTAGGATGACAGGTACCCTAATCGTCCAACCTCTGGATTTGGTCAAGAACCGCATGCAGCTGAGTGGCGTTGGGACGGCGAAGAAAGAATACAAATCCAGTTTCGACGCTGTCGCTAAAATATTCAGAAATGAAGGTTTGTTGGGGTTTTATAATGGCCTGTCCGCGGGTTTGTTGAGGCAAGCTACGTACTCGTCAACAAGGCTGGGTGTCTATACATGGCTTTTTAGCTACTTGTCGGAGTTAGTATAAAATATCTTAAAGCTATTTTTTATTGTACTTAATAATTTCACAATTCTTTAATTTGGTATATTAAAAAAAAATCTGAGGCAAGTGTTATCAATACTAGCATTATTTTATTTAGCTTATGACTAACTATTGAGCGGAAGAAGACAGCATTCGATAGAGAAGTTTAATTTAAAAACGTCTATAAATCTGTATTTGAGTCCCAAATAATTTATCCTGAACGTCAACAATAGGAAGGAAGGTAGATATATTTTACTTTTCAGTGAAATGTTAAGAAAAAGCATTTTGTGTGACTGCCACGGAGGACCCATTACATGGCCTACTTAAAAATCAGAGTGGTTTCTTTTGAATTTGATTGGGTTCTCAGCTACAGAGAGACATTGGCCTCTCCGAATGTATATATAATGTATGCAATAAAAATATTATGTAAAGATATCTCTTAATTATTATATAATATAGAAAATGTTATCTACATTTTAATTTAGAAGTTAAAATATAAAACCTTGTAGCGTAGACCGGTCCCCGAGACCGTAGCCACGCCTAGCATTCCCTTCTCGTCGGACCTGGTAAAGACGGTCACTGTAAAGTAGTACTTTCCTAACCTTCGGTCTAGATTGGAAGCCTGATGTCTCAGCTGTATCATTCCATGATTAGCTGCACTGCCTAAGGTTATTGACCATAACCAAACTGCTTCTGGGTACGAAACCTTTCGGCAGAGAGCGATTTTCATCTGCTAATAACCGGGGCCTATCCGAACTACAAGACTTATTTATGGAGCTAGAAGAGGATCGAAGAACCAACCAACTCTTTTCGCGGGAAGCAGAGAACAAGCCGGTCTCGGGCGGCCAGCTTATGATGAAGGTTAAGATGGCGGTGGTACTGAATAAGAAGCCGGTGATAAGAAACCCAAAAACAAAAGCTGTAAGCCTGTCCACAGGTCCTATAACCTCATTTTTGTTCCTATAAATTTCATTTTTATTTTTTATATTCCGTACCATTCGGTAATATAACCATCTTACCCCAAGAAATAATCCGTTATGAGGTGGTGACAGCCTTCATGAACACCATCTTAACATATTGTTTCCACAATGTAGTTTTACTTCCAATTAAAAAGTGCATAAATGTACTTACAATACCGAATAGCAGCAATACGGTCTTAACTGGAAGGACATTACCAGGAATACCTAAAAACAAGACAGAGAAGAAGATAATATTAATGTGAACAATAAAAATGTAAAACTTCTTAAAATCATACAAAACCTGTGAAACTTACATAATCCCAGAGATACTAAAAATCGTAATTCATGAAGACGGAAAGATACTTCAACACCTAATCAGCTTTTTCTGTAATTATTAAAAAAAGAACTTATAGAGGTATTAACTAACCTTAAGAGAATAATAATATTCATGAAAGGTGTTTTAACTCTGAGAAGTTGAAAAAGGTAACCATTATTATACTAAGTATTTTGTCACTCACCTGACTGATATTATAAAAAAAAAGAAGAAAAAAAAAAGATATGTGAAATGTTGAGGCAGCTGAAAAATTCTTCAAAAATATTCCAAAAAATTATGAGAAAAATAATGAGTTTCCTTGGAAACAACCTGCATAAAACGTTTTTTTATTTATTAAAATTACTGCTTCAATTTCTCCGTCATTCGTCTCTTTCATCTCTCTTCCAATGCTATTACAGTTTCTGAGGTTTTCATATCGCATCATCAAGACTAAAATTGATCTCGAACCCATCATAATTGACTAAAAAAACAAATAGTTGATTTATCCATTGGTACATTTCACAATGATGTCTTGTTCTCAATAATTTGAAACCGTTGTTAGTACACTGATAGGCAAAAAATTCCACCCCCTTGATTTTTTCATGTTTCATCTAAAGATATTTCTGCTTTGGATTGGTCTATTGTTTTTAATGAATAAATAGGTAATCTTTTGTTTGTTTTCAATTAGGAATGTTAATATAGAGGACAATAATCCTTAATCCCTTAATTCAATGAAATGATTCTAGATTGATTCCAATGTTTTCAAGATATCAAAACAAACCATTATTATTCTAAAAGAAATTAATTACATCATCGTTTAGTAGCGCGTGTTTCCTCCTCTTGCCTTCACAACTTCTTGAAGACGCCTCGGCATACTTTCCACCAGTCGGGAAATGTCCCTTTGCTGGAGGATAGCCCATTCCTCCCGAAGAACCCTTTCAAGGTCCTGCAGTGTATCAGGAAGTGTTGCACGCGCTCTTATTCGTCTTCCGAGGTTATCCCATAAATGCTCAATGGGGTTCAAATCTGGAGAACGTGCGGGCCAGTCTAAAACCTCAATATTATTTTGTTGAAGGAACGTCTGCACTATGTGGGCGTGCATTAGAATAGAACGATCGCCGATTTCGTTGAGGATAGGCAACACATGAGGTTCCATATTATATCCTTCGTTTCTTCTTCTCCACACCCTTTCACGCCCGTCTGGAGATCGAAGAGCGAATCTTGACTCATCTGTAAAAAGTACAGCACTCGCATTCATCCTTAGTCCAATGACTTTGTTCTCGAGCAAAAGCCAGCCGTGTTACTCTGTGAGTTCTGGTCAACTCTGGTCCTCTTACTGGACGAAAAACCATTAATCCATACTCATTTAATCTTCTCCGAGCGGTATGTTCAGAAATTTGCACACCTCGAACTTCTTCGAGCTGATGAATCGCTTGAACGATAAGGTGCTGGTTTCGTAAAATTCTCAAAGTCAAAAACCGGTCATCCCATGGTTCTGTTACCCTAGGCCGTCCAGAACCGGGCCTTCTATTGTAAGAACCAGTTTCCCGAAAATGCCTGACGGCGTCTCGTAAAGTTTCATATAAAACTCCGATGGAATTAGCTGCATATCTAATGGAACGTCCATCATCAATAAGTGCCACACCACTGGCAACATCCTCAGCACTAAGAGGCATTTTTAAACTTAATATTGAAAAAATTAAAAGCCGGAGAATAAGAAACGTGACTATTTGAAATCCATTGTCTCGTGGATCAGGTTGCGGGGCTACACGTTAGCCCGTTCGACCACCCAGCCCACACGACAATAACATCTATTGTTGATTTAATTTTGATAATATATTGAGTCAGGGGTGCCCATCTCCCACAAGGTCGATGGCGCAAGAATCTTCCCCTCTTCCCAAGATATTTTATTGTTCACCTTTTCTTAATAACAGAGCAAGCTAAGGTAGAATTAGAAAAATCATAGATCATTTTTATTTATTTATTTATTTGTTCCACCCTCCCATGCCACAATGGCAATACGGGTGTTTGCGATAGTGTGTTTTAGGCATGAATACTTAATAACACACTACTACTAGATGTGCACACAGTTCTTCTGTTCTATCTTCTTCCTTCTTCTTTCGGCCTAGCTTCCAGAATCTGGAGGTCTTCCTGGCGCTTGTCCTCTTCTTCTGCGGGCACCAATACGGAAGTGAGCGTGCCCCACCATCGTCTTCCATCCGTATATGAAGTCCTTAAACCGCGGGAAATTTTCCTCGCTGACTAACTGAGGAAACTCATTTTCAGTGAGGACATAGATTCCCGCGGCTCTTGTCATTGTCGCTCTTAACGTTTCAAATGCGGTGCAGGTCGTGACCACGTGCTCTACAGTTTCCGGAACACTACAGATTGGGCATAGAGGATCTACATCAATGCCAAGACCGTGATGTTTAGCTCGAAATCCTCCATGCCCTGTGAGGAACTGGGAAATCCAGTAGTCCAGGAGGACCCACTTTGCCTGAAGCCTCGACTGTACTGTGGGAAAGTATTTCCTCAACGTACTTTCTTTAGGAGTTGCTACCCACCGCCGGTTCCATGCTTCAATTGTATCCTCCCGGAGTATCTTCTTCCATCTATTAGGCGCTTCCATAATCCTCACCTGTAGATTGTCCGAAAGTACTGTAGAACCTTCTATCTTGTAACAATATTTCGTCACTTCTTCTAGTAGGAGGAGATCGAGAGGCACCACCCCCGCTAGAACCTGCACCGCTTCATGTGAAGTTGTCCTATATGCTCTGGTGACCCGAAGCAGAGCTGTCCTCTGAGTCGAGGCTAGCCTTTTTTTTTTTTTTCGTAGTGTGAGGTTACGGAACCAGAAGGGAGACGCATACCTCAAGATACCCTCCACAACATCTTTATATATCGTGATTGTGGCTGGATACCTAAGGCTCCAGAATGCGCCTCCCACGCGAGATAGACTGTTCATTGCTAGGGCCACCCTACCTGCCATATATTCCAAGTGAGGTGTCACATTTAGGCCTAAACCTAACCTAACTCCTAGGTAGATTACCACCTCACTTGGACGTATCCCCTGGCCTTCTATATTCATTGTTATAGGGTGTGGAACCTGTCAGTCTTGCCCTTGAGGAGAATGGCTTGAGTCTTGGCAGCAGCCATCGTCATTTCCTTCCCCTCACACCACCTCGCGACCAGGCCAGCGCTTCGCTATGCTTCTCTCTTGACTTCAGCTCTACTGTTTGAGGCCACTACAGCAGCTAGGTCATCAACATAGGCAGTAGCAGGGAACCGCTCTTCATCTAACACTCCCAGCAATTCATCGAAGACAAGCTTCCACAGAGCAGGGCCAAGGACTGATCCCTGAGGGCATCCCCTCTCTATGGAAGCTTCTACCTCATAGTGATTCCCTCTGATCTTGACACGCCTGTCATGAGGTAGCTTCTTACAAGTGAGTATAAATTGCTGCATCGTATTTCTGCAGCTGCTGGAGCACGCTAGGCCACCATACACTGTCGAAGGCGGAAGATATATCAAAAAGCAATAACATAACATAACGTTCCGCCCTCCCTTCAACATCTTGGCGCACTCTCAGCAGAGCATCAGCGGTCCCTCTGCCTGTAGTTGAACCATATTGCCGTGGATGGCTCTGTCGAAAACAGGGCGTAAGCTAGACATCATGAGGTTCTCCAGGACCTTGCTCATCACAGGGAGGAGACATATAGGTCTATATGAGTTAGGGAGTTGCTTATCCCTATCTCCTCCCTTGTGGAGGAGTCTCAAATCAGCAATCTTCCAACTTCGTGGGAAGTATCCCGTATCTAGACACTCATTGAAAATTCTTAAAATATGATCTTCAATATACGGAATACTGTTCCTTAAGATTGTCGCGTCTATTCCATCAAGACCTGGAGAACGATTCATTTTCTGCCTATCCACGGCAATACTAAGATCGTGAATGACCCATGGTGGGCATAAATCTGACCCGGTCGGACACACCGTTGTACGCCTCACAAAAGCGTCATTTTCGCTGTCCTGGGCTGAATCATCCCTGGGGTATATAACTTCAATGAAAATACTGGCCGTCTCTTCCAGAGTGGTTACCTGAGTATCTTGGTATTTCAAAGCAGCAATAAATAGTCTGTAGTGGGGTCAGCTTACCCAATGCCACCCTGTACGGAATACCCCAGGGATTCTTCGAGGACTCTTCGACGATGAAATCGTTCCAGGACTTCCTTTTTTGTGAGCGAACCTCGTTTCGGTATATCATGGATTTAGATTTATACACATTCCGAAGTGCAATGCGCCTCTCGTCACATCTGTACCTCCGATATGACCGCCGGGCCTTTTAGAGATCTCTCTTTAGAACAGTTAAGGCTGGCGTCCACCATGGGACCGGTCGAGCTCTCGCTTTCCGGAGCTTCAGGGAGTTTTCGGCAGCGTCTCGAATGATATTGGTGATCCTAGATACCTTGTAATCCAGGTCATTAGCTACGTCCATCTCCATCACATCCCATTCTTCATCTACAATTAATCCTTCCAGACAGCACCTGAAAACACTCCAGTCACTTATTTTTGTAACAAAACCTTTATCAATACCGTGGGAACATCCTGGCTTATCTACCAGGCCGATTGCTATCGCAATGTGGTCGGAACTCGTTGTACCTCGTAAGCATAGGCGTGACGATCGTGACATCAATCCAACTCTGGCCCATGACTCCAGAAAAGGTAGGGGTAGCAGAGGGTTCATTCATCACGACAAATCATAGATCATATACACTTACACTTGCTGCGGTCTGTTCCATGGTTGTCCCTTGTCTCTTTGTCCGAAAATTCATAACCCCATCGAAATATGCCCCCCTCAAAAATTCAAAAACCCTTAAAAATAAGCCCCTTAAAAATTTGGATGCACCACAAAACCCTCTTTTGGGCATCCCTGTATTGAGCTAAGCAGGTCGGTAGCTAGATTTCCCTTTAACAATTATATCGAAATTCATTCACCTTCGTTTACGCACAATTATTTTCTTCAGCACAACGATATTTCCAAACTGCTAGTCGATTCACCAATGGTTCAGTTTTACATTCATCAAATTATAGATTTAAAATATCAAAAGCTGATGAATATCTCCTATAATCGGTATCTAATATGGAGTTTGGCAGACAATGTAGTAGCTGTAAGTTTAGTTTTTCATATTCAATTTTAACTCAAGACACAAAGTTGATACATCCTTTTTACGACTGAGTTTCTAAAAAATAATGAAAAAATTTCTCCTTTTTTTTAGTCCCGATGGCACTCCACCGTCATTCATTAAAAAAGCGGGGATCGGTTGCGTTGCTGGTATTTGCGGAGCGTTCGTCGGCAATCCTGCAGAAGTAGCACTCATCCGGATGACGGCAGATGGAAAATTGCCACCTGAAGAGAGGAGAAATTATGCTAATGTATTCTCAGCGCTGGCTCGTATAACAAGGGAAGAAGGTTTCTTCACGATGTGGAGAGGTGTAATCCCGACTATGAGCAGAGCTGTTGTCGTCAATGCGGTACAACTCGCCTCGTATTCACAAGCCAAAGAATTGCTTATGAATACGGGTTATTTTAGCAATGGACTGTTCCTGCATTTCTGTAGTAGCATGATATCCGGGTTTTTCACAACAGTAGCATCATTGCCTGTCGATATCGCCAAAACTAGGTAAGGATAATATTTATTTTGATAAGAGATTATTTCTTTTATTAAGCATTATAAAAATGGTCAGTAGTACATGCAAGGATGCATATTTCTGAAGAAAGATGTGTTGTCTATGGTCATGCCTATAATAATATACAATCATAATTATATTGTGCGACAGCTTTGTTCTGTGAGTCTCTGGCATCCTCAATGAGCTTCCTTGCACCACTTTGGTACGAGAACGGAACTCTGAACTCTGCTGGTACTGGTACTGGTGGGGAGACCTAGTTCGGCAAGTGGGCCCAATCGTGGTCCTTTTTGCCAACCCCTACCTTGAGGTTGCCGCCGCGTACTTACCAAAGTGGGAATGTCACGATCCATTTCCCGGGGTCGCCGAGAAATGAAAAGTAACCAACCCAGGTAGGTATCGAACCCACAACGTTCAGAACCGGTCACTATGGTACTTACGCCCCAAAGTGCTCGGCCACCCCGTCCTCAACTCCGAATTCTAACCAACCTTGTACAGTTTAGCTCTAAAGATGATTTTTTTTTTCTACATTATCCCAGATTTGTCTTCATAGTTCAATAGATCTGAGAACATAAGCTTCGTTAAAATGTTTTCATTCTTTTTATTTCTTCTAAACTCTCTATCCTATAGAGGAAAGAAAAGTTTATCTTTCCTTTCTTTCAAAAAAGAAATATTATGGGTTTCCGTCCCATGTTCTTTCATTGCGTTCGATTCAACTGTTAGCATTGTCTGTTTATGGTTTTTATAAAGTTCTCTTTTATCATGCCTCCTCATGATTTTGATCCATATTTCAAAAATCCAGAGCAACGTTTGTTATCGACTGTGAACCTCTACGTAATTGCAGCACATAAAGCTGGTACTAGTACCGCTACTGTTGGAGGGAAACTAATCTGACAAGTGATCCCTAAAAGTGTGTTTAGATATTTAGACCCATAGACAAACTATGGGACAAACAAATATATAAATGGTTATTTCAGTATGCTAGTATTTTTGTTTCTTGATTATGATATTTTTCATCTGATGTCGGTATCAAGAGAAATAAAATAAATAGCTTGGTTTAGCAATCATGTCAGTTAAGCTAGATAATTGTGCTGCCCATTGTTTGTGTTATTTCGCACCTTTACAAACTACCTTGAGCTTGCCACCACTTCAATACGACTTTAGCTATCTACAAGAAATTTAGCAGGAATTTAGGGACACATAAACTACACAAAATGACATCTACAGGACCTTCGTAAACAAACTACAAACGGAGATAAAAAATAAAAACCTATAAGAAGTTTTTGTTTATTTATTCCTATATGTAGGCATTAAATAAAAAAAAACATTCATACGTCTTTGATGAACAATAATTCAGCTTTCAAACGGATATAGTAACATTGAATTTGGAGAACACCCTGAAGAGTTATGAATGATCCAAAGGGTGTTGTGTTCCACTGAGACAATGCTAGGTGTCGCCCACACCTCGTTGATCACTCCCAATAAATTATTGAGCCTTGGATGGGACCTTTTGTCCCACCACTTCTATTCACCAGACCTAGCTCCAAGTGACTAGCACTTATTCCGGTCTCTGCAGAACTCCATAAATAGAAAGAAATTCCAAAAGGAAGAGGACATCAAAAACTACTTGGATCAGTTTTTTAACAATAAACTCCAAACATTCTATGAACATGAAATTATACAGCTAGTAGAAAGATAGGAAAAAGTCATATGAAATAATGGTCAATATATTGTAGATTAAAATAAAAATGTATATCTATAATACATTAAGTTTTTTTCAACCTGAAAAATTGAAAGGACTTATTTGCCAACCCAACAAAATGAACAATATTAAGTGCATCAGTTTAATAATATTAGAATTATGGGATGTCCTGTTTTGCTTAGTTTGTTTTTTTGAAATATTTTCAATTCTTCGTTTTTTTCTTTTCGCTAGAAAGTTGTATGTTATTCTCAGTTTTTAGCAACAATAACTTCCAATTAAACAACAATTGATTTATTTGTTGTATTTTCAAGTTTACGTTTCGGGAAAATTTACTCCCATCTTCAGAACTACAATAATTGTTCTAAAAGAATGATGATGCTCTGTATATTAAATATTATAATTTGTTAAAACATGAATTTAGAACCTGACAATGGAGCACATTAGACTTAAGACATGAATCTACAAAGAAAAATGGGATTGTAGTTCTTAAGATGGGAGTAAATTATTCCTAAACGTAAACATGTAAACTTGGAAATATAACAAATAAATTAATTGTTGTTTAATTGGAAGTTATTTTTTTAATTTTATTTAGTTTTAGTTTAAATGAAAATATTACTCTCTAAATGTGCCTAAATCTTAAGGAATTTCATGGTGTATATTAATACATAAGCTATAGGTTTCATTATTATTAGGGAATGGGGAGAAAGAGGGTGTATATTTTTGAAACTATAATTTCAACCATGGTATATTTTTATTTTTTATTTACTTGTTTTTCAATAACTAGCACTTATAAACCATATTGTAGCACCAATTACATATTTTTGTCAGAAAGGGATGCTCATTTGAATGTAGCTTGTAATGGTAAACTTTTATGATTTAACAGACCCGTTGAATTCTCTACCTTACCACTTAGAATTCGTTGTTTACTTGTATTGTTATTATAATGTTTCCTACTTGCTACTATTTAAGTACATAAGGAAATCACACCCAATGAACAACTGCCAGCAATTATTGTTTTTATCTTCTTTTTTTTTTCCTTTTTCAGGATTCAAAATATGAAAATGATTGAAGGAAAACCAGAATTCAGTGGCACATTCGACGTTTTTGTAAAATTAGTTAAAAATGAAGGTGTATTTGCATTGTGGAAAGGATTCACCCCATATTATGCCCGAATAGGGCCACATACTGTGTTGACGTTTATATTTTTGGAACAATACACCAACTTATACAAAAAATATTGTATGGATTGAAGAACCGATTCTAAAGGTTTCGATTAATGTTTTAACCATGACCCACTTCGAGCGGAATTTTGAAGAGGCTAACATAGCATTAAATGGTTTTATACAATTATTTAAAATTAATTTTAATTGGAAAAATAAATTACCCTTAGTTTTTAGGTCAGCATAATGGATATTTTAATTAATTTTTTATAGTCAAAATATTGAAAACAGAAAAATGACTTATTATTGCACTTCTGCTGTAAAGTTTTAATTTAAATTGTAAATTATTTTAAATTGTACTGTCAATGGGAGATACCTTCATGAGATGAGAATATATTTTCTTCCAATATCTTAAAAGTACAAAATAACTTTAAAAAATAAATAGATTATTAAAAACAAAATATAAGAGATTAGGATATTGCGTGTAATTTTTTTGAGTTGACTGAGAGTTATACAAAAAGTACACATAATTTCGATAGTAAAAGATAAAAAATCCAGTATTGTGTAACTTTATTATTACGAATTACACAATTTAGAAGCAGTGCTTAAGAATTTATATGTAAACTTATCATTGATAGTTACTAAAATTGGCCCAAATGCTTTATCTTTATCTTTCATGGCCCAATAGGAATTGTTCAAGTTCTTAATTTAGAAATTATTTTGAATATATTCCTTCAAACGTAGAAGGTTTTTATAGATTGCTATATTTATTTATTAAAAAGTACGGTTTTGCCATGGCTTTAAAATGTAGTCTTTCAATAGTTATTGTTTGGAAAGTATTGGGTGTGGTAAGAAAAAAATATATTCGGGACGTGTATAGTGCATTTATAGACTAAAAGGAATTCAAAGCTGCCAGTTCCTATTTTAAACTATTCTTTATAACAGACCTAGACATTTTGAAAATAAGTATTATAGTTAACATTTATAAATTTATCAAATTTTATTTTCTGTATTACAAAAAAATTTTAACAAAGGCACAAGCAAATGAAAGGACATATATGGCCAGTGTTTGTTAAGTGGTTTGTAGTGTTAAAAGTTTTGTTGATTTTTTTAAAAATATATATTTTTGTTAATTTTGATTGAATAATAAATTTCACTTGATAAACATTTTTTATTAATTTTTATTGTCAATTTCACATTAGTTTTCCTTAGTGTAGTGACAGATATGCTTGTCACTATTTGAGCAAGTGAGTATCAAAGCAATATCTTATTACTAATTGCATAAATAATGTCAATGCAAGTGCTATGACACATTTAGGTGCAGAATACTTCATCCAAATGGATAAAGAATTGCTATTTTAAATAATTATTTATGGCAAGCATAAATCTGCTCTGTTTAGTATGTTCAGAAAAGATTTTTATGATCTCCTTTGGAGTTAGAATAAAGTTGGTTACGTTTTTTGGAGAAGGTGGAGAAAGTGGTATAAAGGAAAATCCGAGCATTAATCTTAAGTTACAGTGTAGTTTATTACTGACAGACCAGCAGCAGTCCTGTCCATGTTAGCTCAATTTTACATGAGCTTGAAACAATAGTTAAAAGTAATAAAGCACAATTACTAACTTGAACATTATTTGTGTTAATAGTTAACTGTTAATGTAGATACACTACTAATGTGAGACGAAATAAATGTGTTTCTCATTTATTCTAAGGTTCCCATTTATCCTCGAAATAAATTATATCTGAATTAATTTAATTCTAGACTGTCTGATAGGTAAGGATAGGCCAGAACTTAGCCTAATCCCTGATCAGCATTAAATGTATATTATTTAATTTATTTTATCAGGAACAACTTTTTCGATCAGTTAAAAGCAATTAAACTAGTATCTGCCAAAGGATGAATTCATATTATATAATATTTTCTAATTATTAAAATTAAATGTTAATTTATGCAGAGTAATATATTAAAAGAAAAGATTTGCACCAAATACCAATCTAACTATTAATATAATTAGTTAGTTCTTGGGGATAATTCGCATAGTCTTCGGTGAACAATTGGCAATATAATATGGAAATAAGATACTGTAATTTATTATGAGAGGGAAGAATTAATTTTTTTTCTTTGTTTAATTATAATGGTTCATTCAAAATAGCAAACAAACAAATTTGTTCAAATTACCAATAACCGTATTTTTGCTAAAAATTGTCCACTCTCGGTAATCAATTTTTCTTTTGTAGGGAATTTAGAAACCTTATTATCATAATACGTCTATTTATTTCTTCGAGAAAATTTTAGATCTTTGTACAGAAGTTCACTGTAAGTATTACTTTGTTAAAGTATAATAAAATACTTAAATGACACCAATGAGAAGATATTTAATGTAAATATTTACAGTGTCTCTATGAAAGTACTTTATTTTATATATGTTTATCATTTTAATTTTCTATTTTTTGTCACTGCCATCTTAGACTTAATTGTCCTCATCTATTGAGAATAAAGCTTAATTTGCTTAATACTGCATCATTCTTTTTGAATATAGATAAAATCAGTATACGAGTCATGAGTGTTACATATGACCCATGATTATTCCTTTCTTCAGATAATACTGACAAATCGGGATTGCACTTCTAAAAACATTTCAATTAAATATGTTATTTGGTCAACATTTGTGACAGTGAATTAAAATACTCATCATGTTTTGCTTGTTTTCAAACTTGTATTGCTCTACACTTTGTCTTGAAAACACAGATCTACTGTCAACTGGAAGCTAATGGCTACTCTTTCTTAAGTTAGCAGAAAAAGATTCACCTTAAATCTGACTCAGACAGGAATGACGCTATTCAAGTAACACTTACGACTGGCTTTAAACTAACATTAAATTTTGTGGTTTATTTTTAATTATCCTACTTTAATAGTTCACTGTATTACTTATTACAATATTAATTTTTAAGTAAATATATTTGCTTATACCAAAGTAATTTAATTAACTATTTTTGGTTATTTATTACTTTACTTAAGTATAATATTTTTTACTTTATTTTAACTCTTTATTCCCTTATACGCTGACAGTACATTTTGATAGACTTCACAATATCTCAGTTTTCTATTTAACTATTCTATTTACAATATCTCAACTTTTCTATTTATATTTATTTCTTATATAACTTTATATTCCTTTTCTCTGTTTTACATTTTATTCTAAGATTACCATTTTAGTACTTATGTTATCTTATTTTGATTATGTTTACTTCATTAGTCCACACTCTGTAACCGTTATTATTATTTATTTCTTAGTTCTTGTTATTGTGTATATTCTATCTACTTGATTTTACTTTAATGTTCACTTATCTACTTCATTTTACTTTAAGTTTTTTTTTTTTACCTACATTGTTTCTGTTTCTAATACCAATTGTTATCTGGTTCTTTTCTCAGCCCTGATGAAGGCCTGAACTTCAGGTTGAAACATCGGCAAATGTTAAAATAAATATTATTATTTATTTTTGCCAGTTTTATTTTTGACAGATCACCCCAACTATCCTTTTCTTCATTATTCACTACAGTCAACCCCCAACCCACAATTATTTAAGTAATTCATTAAATATAGGAGAAAAACAAGTATTTGACAAAGTTATTTTTATATTTCTAGATAAAACTCGAATATTATAAATTTATTATTTAGTGCTATTTTTTTTTTTTTTTTTTTTTGGATGATGAATAGTCAGAATGCAGTCTCTTTTAAAATTTTTATTTTTGCCAATGTTTCTACCCAAGCTTGTTGGTCATCATCAGGGCATGTTGCCAGCACTGAACATGTTCAAATGCTATTTTGTTATAATTACTTTTTGTATATCTGTAAAAATTGAAATAATTTCAAAATTAAAAATAGCCGGAAACCACGAGGACTGCTAGGTTACATTAATTTTGAAAATGGTCTGATTAAATTAAGAAAATATATTCATATCACATCTCATCATACCGCATTCAATTTTATCAATACATGTTATTTTGTCGGATGTTTTAAATGGAATTTGTAGGAATAGAAAATAACTTTTATCCTACTCAACTAAATATTACCGGTCTCTGCAAAATGTTAGTGTACCATTTACATTCGCCCACAGGGGCTAGCTGACGTGCGCAGCTAGTGGGGATTGACGATCCTCCAGACCCCGAGTTCAGTACACTGCCCTAACACATACACAGAACAGTATACCACACACTTACACTGACACGAGGTCACCTACACTACACACCCTAGGGTCGCCTATCCTAGGAAGCCGCCTCGGATGAGGGAGCAGGTCAGGATGTTCTAAGGAGGCAGCCCCTCCACCTGACTAGGGGGCAGTGGGCTGATAACCTACTCCTCTAAAACAAGTCTTATCACTAACAAACGAACGATTAGAGCTGGATTGAACTTAAAGAATATGACAAGGCGCGGGAAACGGATTATACGACTTGCTACCTGGAATTTGCGAGGTTTGAATGGAAAGGAGTGCGAACTCGTGGACGAAATCAGAAAGGCCAAAGTGGATATACTTGGCATCACCGAAACGAAGAGGAAAGGAAAAGGCGAACTGAAGAGCCAGAACTACACTCTTCTGTACTCGGGGGTCAGTGAAAGAGAGGGAGCAACCAGCGGAGTAGGAATCATGTATCATAATGATCTTGCATCGGAAATCAAAAGTTGGAAATTTGTAAGTGATCGAATTATGATCCTAAACATTGTTGAGTGGAAAGACATCCACTCTTTGATAGTTCCATATAGGCCAAACGATTGTGCAAGAGCAGATGAAAAGGATTCATTTTTCAATTCCCTACAAAAAGAAATAGACGACCGTGAGGGTAACCCTATAACTCTTGGAGACCTGAATGGTAGAATGGGCCGCGATAGTGGAAGATGGCCAAAAGTGTTGGGAACTCACGGTGAAGACAATTTAAATGATAATGGGGAACGAATTCTGAATTTATGTGTGGCAAACGACCTAGTGGTAAGTAACACCTTCTTCCCTCATAAACAAAAACATAAATATACTAGAGAGGAATCCAGCAGGAACGAAAGGTCGATCATCGATTATATACTGGTTAAGAGGGAAGAGTTCAGAAATGTACAAGATGCCAGAGTGAAGAGGGGCTTCGAAATAGGCAGTGACCACTACCTGTTAATGCTCGACAAAATTTGGAATGGCAGTAAAATGAGGAACAGATGTGTAGGTAGTAAGAAAAAAACGATTAAATCTTACAGGCTTAAGGAGGATGAAATGGCCCAATACTATCAGGAGGAAGTGGAAAGGATATCACGAGATACCTACCAATCATGGGATAGCGATGATATTGAGGAGAGCTGGACAGCATTTAGAAATATCATTCTTGATGCCGCGAGACTCGTCTGTGGTCAGAAGAGCATTGGGTCAAATTTCAAACGAACTGCTTGGTGGACAGAGGATGTTAAGAGAGCTGTTAAGGAGAAGAAAGCAGCTTGGAAAGACTTTATGAGCCAAAGAACACCCATTTCTCACCAAAAATACAAAAAGTAAAGTACTTCTAGCCAAGAGGAAATCGTGGGCAGATCTGGAGCACAAATTTGAAGAAAACGCAAAATAAAACCAAAAACTATTCTTCAAAGCAATCAAAGAAATGCGCAAGGAGAGACCCACTACATTTAAGGGAATTAGGAGCAGAGAGGGGAACATTGTCTGGCGGGATGATGAGATAATGGAGAGAGTATTTTAAAGAGCTGCTAGAAGGAACAGATTGGAACCTAAACGGGATCTAGGTTGTAGAGGAGGATTCCTTAGAAGAGGATGAATACATTGATGAAGAAGAATTGCTGGAATCCATCGCCAAGATAAAACTCGGTAAGTCGGCGGGACTGGACGGAATCACTCCGGAAATGATGAGGTTTATGGGAAGTAAAGGCCAGGAAATGTTTCTCCATCTTGTGAACCTGGTCTGGAAACAGAAGAAGATACCGAAGGACAGGGAAGTCGCAGTCATAGTGCCAATATATAATATATAAGAAGGGAGACAACAGGGACTGCAACAATCATCGAGGTATTTCACTCCTTAGTGTTCTCAGTAAAATATACTCAAAAATCCTAGAGGCAAGGGTCAGAAGCACAGTAGAATCCAAGATTGGATAGGAGCAATATGGATTCAGGAGTCAAAGAAGCACACAGGATCTAGTTTTCCCTATGCGACAAATCACAGAGAAGATTGTCGAGAGGGGAAAGGAACTCTCAGTGTGCTTTGTAGATCTCTGCAAAACCTTTGACCGGATTAGGAAAAAAGATATAATTGAGGCTCTTGTGGAAAAAGCTATAAATAATGGACTTATAAGGGCCGTAAGCAGTTTAATACGGAAATACAAGGAATCTTGTTAGAACAAGAAACCATACATCTTGAGAGTTCAAAACAACACTGGACATACGACAGGGTTGTAGCCTGAGCCCACTTCTTTTCGTACTGGTTCTCGATCTGGCGCTGGGAAAAGCAAAACAGAAGATACGAAATTTTCAATTGGGTCACAGAGATATGCAGCCTACTCTACACTCTCTGCTGGCGTTTGCGGATGACCTCGTCATATTGGCCCAGAATGACCGTGACCTCCAGAACAATATTAATATCCTAAAGGAAGATTTAAGAAAAATCAATATGAAAATTAACCCTGAGAAGACGAAATGCATGCCCATTGGAAGAAAACCTCACAGGGTTATGAGGGTATTGAGTGTCAAAGGTGAGATTTTGGAGCAGGTGCTCCAAAATGTAAGGTGAACAGTTTCAAATACTTAGGTGGCCAACTCAACGAAAATGGATATATTGACGAGGAGGAAAGGCTTTCTGAACCGAAAAGAGGTGACCAAGGAAACGAAGATGACGGTCTACAGATCAGTATTCCTTCCTATACTGACGTATTCTTCCGAGTCCTGGACACTTACTTCAAAACACAGGAGCCAGATCCAGGCTCTAGAGATGCGATACCTGCGAAAAGTGGAGGAAAAGACGAAAAAGAATTCGCAACACTACAATCCGAGCCAATCTCGACGCCAAAGCGGTCGAAACCATTATAGAAGAACACAAGCTGAGGTGGTTTGGGCACCTTCTCCCTATGGACCGGAACAGAGTCGCACGGAAGACATATGAGACTCGTGTGCAGAGTAGGAGACCAAGAGAAAGACCCAGAATCTCCTGGGAAGAAAGCGTGGGAGATGCATTCCAGAAGCGAGGTTTGGAATGGAACAGGAGACGAGAGCTGGTACTGGAAAGGTCCACCTGGTCCAAGCTCTACAAGAAGCAACCTCACACTGCATAGGCGTAAAGAGGGATATGACTATGATGATGATGATGATGATGATGATGATGATAACAATTTACTATCACAAGAATTAAAATTTATGGCATATACAGGAGATTTGTTTCTTCCCAGCACATTCCAGTTTTTTTGTGTCTGTGTGTTCTCATTTTCTGTGTTGTTTTAAATAGTAGTAATAGATCGAACATTTGATTTGATTAAAATGCGCGCAATGTAACCTTAACGCGATGTGTTGTTCAGTCTTATAATATTATTTATATTTATTTTTCAAGCAAGAATCAAAATGAGTTTGAAAAGTTCCTCTTGGAGATCGTTCGGCTCCATCTTACTTTCGACATTCCATCTAGAATAGAATTTTTTTTTGCCCCGATCCATCATGTGGGTGTGATACTTGAACAAAAGTACTAAGAAAAAGACGAATAAAACCCTAAACTAGTTCATTGACATAATGTAATTTATTTATACAACTATTCGGAACTTTCCGACTATTTGAATAATTTTGGTTCTTAACCAAATTTACAAAAGTTCAAGACAAAAACAGGTCCTGCAAGAATCTGGGCCTGTCTTACGGCCCTTCTCCACTTTCCTCTATCCCGGGTGAACATTCGCCATCTCCGAATTCTCATCCTTTTCAGGCTGTTCTCCACCTCGACCAGCCATCTTAGGCGTGATCTTCCTCGTTTTCCAACAGGTCGATTCTCAAGAAAGCGTTTTGGAATCTCTGGGCATACGCCACACATGGCCCAACCATCTAACCTAGTTTCCCCTCAAAATTAATACAGAATTCGGCTTCGCATACATTAGTGCGAATTCACAATTGTCACTGTTCGCACATCGGGCCATAGATCCTATGGAGAACCCTTCTCTTCCATGTGAGTTGCCTTTTTTCCGAATCTTTGGAGCTTACTCAAGTTTTGATGTCGATGTCAAGACCTACATCGAGAGAAAATGCAATGGAAAATTATACAAGCATCTTTAAAACAGCTACAAATTTTATAAATTGTTATTAATATATTGCAATAGTTATTGTTCGAACCATAATTAAACATATGAAATATACATTGTTATAATTATATTTTTTAACGTATTGAATTATATTGCTTCAGCGCATACTAGTAGTAATCTGTGGTCTATAATATGTTTTGCGTCAAGCTCAAGCAAAGATACAAGAAGTAAAACTCAGGAATATTCATTGCTTATTTATGTTCCTCCTCGTTACTTGAATTCGGTAATAAACAAAAAACACATTTATGATAAGTGCTACATTATATTAGGATTATAAAATAATCCTATTGTATGAAAAAGTGAGTTCGTCTGAGCATGGAAGACACCAGAGATCCCAGTTATATCGACCATCGAGGAGAATTATAAAAATAAGTGAAACTGAATATCACTTGAATCTAAGTATTTTGGAAGATTTATGTTTATATATAAGCTCAAAGTGGATTGATACCAACTAATTAGACATTTTTTTAAATCTTTAAAGCACATTGTTAGAAAAAATAATATTTGTCAGATGATTTTGTAGGATTACATAAATTTCTCACTATAACCACAATATTTGGAAAAATTCTCACTATGGCCAACAAAATCAGCGGTGCCTTGAGAGAGCATAACTGTTAATGGATCTTCTGAGGAGACGACCAATGGATAAGGTTGCTGTCCGAGATGTTCCACAAATGGAATCCAAAGTAGTTCAGTTTAGACCTCTCTGAGCAATAGTTCAGTGATGAAATTTTAGTTAGCAATACCATTTTCAATATTTTATAAAAATGGCGAAAGAGAAACCCAAGGATATCCCTAATTATATGAAATTTATCATCGGCGGCGCTGCAGGGTGAGTATTTAAAAAAAATATTTATTATCAACAGCTATTATTAATATAGCTGTTTAATAGGCTATATTAAACTAACTGGCTTCTTGTGTTAGGATGACAGGTACCCTAATCGTCCAACCTCTGGATTTGGTCAAGAATCGCATGCAGCTGAGTGGCGTTGGGACGGCGAAGAAAGAATACAAATCCAGTTTCGACGCTGTCGCTAAAATATTCAGAAATGAAGGTTTGTTGGGGTTTTACAATGGCCTGTCCGCGGGTTTGTTGAGGCAAGCTACGTACTCGTCAACAAGGCTGGGTGTCTATACATGGCTTTTTAGCTACTTGTCGGAGTTAGTATAAAATATCTTAAAGCTATTTTTTATTGTACTTAATAATTTCACAATTCTTTAATTTGGTATATTAAAAAAAAATCTGAGGCACGTGTTATCAATACTAGCATTATTTAGCTTATTACTAACTATTGAGCGGAAGAAAACAGCATTCGATAGAGAAGTTTAATTTAAAAACGTCTATAAATCTGTATTTGAGTCCTAAATAATTTATCTGAACGTCAACAATAGGAAGGAAGGTAGATATATTTTACTTTTCAGTGAAATGTTAAGAAAAAGCATTTTGTGTGACTGCCACGGAGGACCCATTACATGGGCTACTTAAAAATCAGAGTGGTTTCTTTTGAATTTGACTGAGTTCTCAGCTACAGAGAGGCATTGGCCTCTCCGAATGTTCGATTTTGGTTGATCTCAATAATAAGTCTCCAGCCTGGAACTGAGACTTCTCACATCAGTAGAAATGCAGGTTGGTGTCTATTTATCAGTCCACCTTGCTGCAGGTCACTAGGGCTTTTCTAAAGTTATAGCAGGAAGAGTACTTCTCGATCTCATTCATCTAGAATACTCATGTTCATAGATTGGCGGATCTCCTCGGATAAGTCTCGGAGAGTCTGAGGGTTGGTATAATAAAAACCAGGGACGCAGAGAGGATCCTAAGGCCTTGAGAGAATACTTTATCCTGGCCACCTTCAAATACTAAATTTATCGTTAATACCTTACCTCGATATTTATTATGTATGCAATAAAAATATTATGTAAAGATATCACTTAATTATTATATAATATAGAAAATGTTATCTACATTTTAATTTAGAAGTTAAAATATAAAACATTGTAGCGTAGACCGGTCCCCGAGAATGTAGCCACGCCTAGCATTCCCTTCTCGTCGGACCTGGTAAAGACGGTCACTGTAAAGTAGTACTTTCCTAACCTTCGTTTTAGATTGGAAGCCTGATGTCTCAGCTGTATCATTCCATCATTAGCTGCACTGCCTAAGGTTATTGACCATAACCAAACTGCTTCTGGGTACGAAACCTTTTGGCAGAGAGCGAGTTTCATCCGCTAATAACCGGAGAACTATGAGACTTATTTATGTAGTTGGAAGAGGATCGAAGAACCAGTAAAATCTTTTCACGGGAAGCAGAGAACAAGCCGTTCCGGGCGGCCAGCTTATGATGAAGGTTTAGATAGCTTTGGTACTGAATACGAAGCCTATGATAAGAAAACAAAAACCAAATGCTGTAAGCCTGTCCAAAGGCCCGTTCATTGGCCTACATCACTCTATAACCTCATTTTTTGTTTCTATAAATTTTGTTATTAATTTTTTTTAATATTCTGTACCTTTCGGTAATATAACCATCTTACCCCGAAAAGTAATCCGTTATGAGGTGGTGACGGCCTTCATGAACACAATCTTAACGTATTGTTTCCACAATGAAGTTTTACTTGAGAATAATAAGGGCATAAATGTACTTACAATACCGAATAGCAGCAATACGGTCTTAACTGGAAAGACATTACCAGGAATACCTAAAAACAAGACAGAGAAGAAGATAATATTAATGTGAACTATAAAAATGTAAAACTTCTTAAAATCATACAAAACCTGTGAAACTGGTGCATAATCCCAGAGACGCTAAAAATCGTAATTCATGAAGACTTCAACACCTGATCAACTTTTTCTGGAATTATTAAAAAAAAAGAACTTATAGAGTAATTAACTAACCTTAGGAGAATAATAAAGGGTATTTCATGAAACGTGTTTTAACTCTGAGAAGTTGAAAAAGATTATTATATTAAGTATTTTGTCACTCACCTGACTGATATTATAAAAAAATAAAATAAAAAAAGAAAGAAAGAAAAAAAGAGATGTGTGAAATGTCGAGGCAGCTGAAAAATTCTTTAAAAATATTCCAAAAAAATTATGAGAAAAATAATGAGTTTCCTTGGAAACAACTTGCATAAAACGTTTTTATTTATTAAAATTACTACTTTAATTTCTCAGTCATTCGTCTCTTCCCTCTCTCTCTCTCTCAAAGCTATAACAGTATCTGTGGTTGTCATATCGCATCATCAAGACTAAAATTGATCTCGAACCCATCATAATTGACAAAAAAAAAAAAAAAAAAATTATGAAAAATATATAATTTATCCATTGGTACATTTCACAATGATGTCTTGTTCTCAATAATTTGAAACCTTTGTTGTTAGTATATTTCGCTAAACCGTCGGTCTCGAATCCACTTAAACAATAAGGTTTGGGCACCCAGTTTTATGTATCTTTCCAATTGTGAATAAAGCAAAAATGCTTGGTTCGGTGGTTAAGAAAATAGTTAAGAGGAGAATCAAGACAATTTTGGACAAAATAGTACTATTTCTAAAGAGATAACAGAGCCACCCAAAGAGGCCTTGAATGGGCACATTCTGGTTGCTTCTCGTTAAGAAACATTTTTCTAACTATAGCTAACCGAGTCACCGACCTGCATACTTCAAGATTGAAGGTCTTATTGCAAAACATATGTAACCCAACTTAATAATTTTCGGTAATACTTAAGCAAACAAATGGTTTAAGCTCTGTATTGTGGGCACAACTCTGCAAACTGATTATTACATTGGTTATCTGGAGATTTCTAAAGGCTTCCAGGATTTGTGGAAGCTAATATGCACTATACTAGAACACCCATAATGGCCCAGAAGTAGTATTCTTGTTCATATTCAGGAACATTATTACAAATGCATGTTCCTTGCCTTTAAGGCTATACGGGGTTTTACCGGGCCAGAGAGTGTGTGCGGGGATTTAAAAGACTCCCCGGGAGCTCGTGACTATTAAAATCCAATGTCTCCTGGATCAGGTTGCCGGGCAATACGTTAGCCCGTTCGGCCACCCCGCCCCCACGGCAATAACATCTATTGTTGATTCAATTTTGATAATATATTGAGTCAGGGGTGCCCATCTCCCACAAGGTCGATGGCGCAAGAATCTTCCTCCCAAGATATTTGATTGTTCATCTTTTCTTAATAACAGAGCAAGCTAAGGTAGAATTAGAAAAATCATTGATCATATACACTTACACTTGCTGCGGTCTGTTCCATGGTTATCCCTTGTCTCTTAGTCCAAAAATTCATAACCCCATCGAAATATGATCCCCTCAAAAATTGAAAAACCCCTTAAAATAAGCCCCCTTAAAAATTTCAATGGGCCATAAAACCCCCTTTTGGGCACCCCTGTATTGAGTTGTGCATGTCGGTAGCTAGATTTCCCTTTAACAATTTTATCGAAATTCATTCACCTTCGTTTACGCAAAATTATTTTCCTCAACACAACGATATTTCCAAACTGCTCGTCAATTCACCAGTGGTTCAGTTTTACCTTCATCAAATTATAGATTTAAAATATCAAAAGCTGATGAATATCTCCTATAATCGGTATCTAATATGGTGTTTGGCAGACAATATAGTAGCTGCAAGTTTAGTTTTTCATATTCAATTTTAACTCAGACACAAAGTTGATACATCCTTTTTACGACTGAGTATCTAAAAAATAATGAAACAATTTCTCCTTTTTTTCAGTCCCGATGGCACTCCACCGTCATTCATTAAAAAAGCGGGGATCGGTTGCGTAGCTGGTATTTGCGGAGCGTTCGTCGGCAATCCTGCAGAAGTAGCACTCATCCGGATGACGGCAGATGGAAAATTGCCACCTGAAGAGAGAAGAAATTATGCTAATGTATTCTCAGCGCTGGCTCGTATAACAAGGGAAGAAGGTTTCTTCACGATGTGGAGAGGTGTCATTCCAACTATAAGCAGAGCTGTTGTCGTGAACGCGGTACAACTTGCCACGTATTCACAAGCCAAAGAATTGCTTATGAATACGGGTTATTTTACGAATGGAATGTTCCTGCATTTCTGTAGTAGCATGATCTCCGGGTTTTTCACAACAGTAGCATCATTGCCTGTCGATATCGCCAAAACTAGGTAGGGATAATATTTATTTTGATAAGAGATTATTTCTTTTACTAAGCATTATAAAAATGGTCAGTAGTAGATACAAAGATGCATATTCCTGAAAAAAGATGTGTTGTCTATGGTCATGCCTACAATAATATACAATCATAATTATATTGCGCGGCAGCTTTGTTCTGTAGGTCTCAGGCATCCTCAATGAGCTTCCTTGCACCACTTTGGGACGAGAACGGAACTCTGAACTCTGCTGGTAATGGTACTGGTGGGGAGACCTAGTTCGGCAAGTGAGCCCAATCGTGGTCCTTTTTGCCAACCCCTTGAGGTTGCCGCCGCGTACTTACCAAAGTGGGAATGTCACAATCCATTTCACGAGGTCGCCGAGAAATGAAAAGTAACCGACCCAGGTAGGTATCGAACCCACAACGTCACTCTGGTACTGACGCCCAAAGTGCTCGGCCACCGCGTCCTCAACTCCGAATTCTAACCAACCTAGTACAGTTTAGCTCTAGAGATGATTTTTTTTACATTATCCCAGATTTGTCTTCATAGTTTAATAGATCTGAGAACATAAGCTTCGTTAAAATATTTGCATTCTTTTTATTTCTTCTAAACTCTCCATCCCATAGAGGAAAGAAGATTGTATCTTTCCTTTCTTTCAAAAAAATAAATATTATGGGTTTCCGTCCCATGTTCTTTCATTGCGTTCGATTCATTTGTTAGCATTGTCTGTTTATGGTTTTTATAAAGTTCTCTTTTATTATGCCTCCTCATGATTTTGTCCATTTTTCAAAAATCCAGAGCAACGTTTGTTATCGACTGTGAACCTCTGCGTAATTGCAGCTCATAAAGAAGGCACTAGTACTGCTACTTGGAAACGTTGGAAGGAAACTATTCTGACAAGTGATCCCTAAAGGTGCATTTAGATATTTAGACCCATAGACAAACTATGGGACAAACAAATATATAAATGGTTATTTCACTATGCCAGTATTTTTGTTTCTTGATTATGATATTTTTCATCAGATGTCGGTATCAAGAGAAATAAAATAAATAGCTTGGTTTAGCAATCATGTTAGTTAAGTTAGATAATTGTGTTGCCCATTGTTTGTGTTATTTCGCACCTTTACAAACTAACTTCAGGTTGCCGCCATGTACTTACCAGTGTGGGAGTAACAAGATTCATTAACAGGGGAGGGGGGGGGGGCTGCCGAGAAATAATCTTGACGATAACCTGGCTGGTACCAACGTCTGCTGCTGAGATGAATAATATTTATTCATATACTTACAAAAATTCTATTACTGTTAAAAGAAATCACAGGACGTCAAAGGCTTAAGATTAATTTATAATACTTAATAAATATTTTCGATATAGCTATTAAAGATCTGGTTGCAGGTTAGACAATTTTTAACTGGTAACCGCAAAAGTTGATTAAATAATATTTTTAAAATTGATATATTTTTCCTCTGTGAAAAAAAACATTTTGTACTTTGTGAAACTATTTTTAAGTTAAAAATAAAAATAGTGTTGGTTTTATGAGTTGCATGGATAAGTATGATCGAATTTCACAAAAAGGTACCTACAAATTTAACTCCATCTAAAGTGTATTTATAATTAGTATCTTTGGAATAAATCAAAGATGTGTTTCATACTATCAGGTTTATTATAAGATATTACAGATAAACTGTTAAGTTTGATTGAAAAGTAGTGGGTAAATAAACCTATATTGTAGTTTATAACCAAATCATAATAAGTTTTTTTTTTTTTTTTTAATTCATTTATAGACCTAGATATAGAATAGCTTTCTATACAATATATATTATTATTATATATATATATATATATATATATATATATATATATTACAAATTATTACTATAAATAGACATTGCGCTATTTATAGTAATAATTTGTCAACATAGATTGTTACTCTTCAAAACAGTATCATATTTTACTATTTTGGGAGCTTTCAGTATGTAGCAACAATGATTATATCATCAAAATATTCAGTCAATAAATTAACGATTCATAATAATTATCACAGTGTCAAAATAATCTACATGCCATGCTTTTCTATCAATTTACTTGGATATCTTAATTATCGATCATTGTTTTATTGGTTATAGATCGTTGCTTTCGAAATCTGAAGGTAAATAATTAAAAAAGTTAGGCTTATTTATATTAATTCTATTCAACATGGGACTTGACCACAAAAAATTGAAAATCAAACCATTTCTTTTCAGTACTGATTCAAGTTTATTAAAGAAAATATTTGATTAATTTTATTCATGATTTTAACTCGACTTTTAAAAACTTCCAAGTCCCTCCTATGTTCATAATTAACTGTATTAACAAAATAATAAATCATCTGCATAGATAATTTTTTTTTTATTTTTTATTTTTTTGTTGATGATATTTACAACTGTATTACAAGTAAAAATACATTACAAGTAAAAATGCAGCATAGATAAATTGAATTTTCATTTTATTGATATATTAATTTATTTTATTATTAAAAGTAAGTTTATAATTGTGGGTCATGTGTGGTACTCCTTAGTGAAGACCAAAGAAAGTGTGTCTCATTCCAGCATTCTACAAATAACACATTTGTGTTACCTAATAATGATAGTAAATGACCTCAAAAGAATTTTGCTTTTTTTGATGGAAAAGAAGAGGGTAATTAAAGACAAAAGCAGGTGTAGATGGGTTGAGAATTTTATTCATGTAAACAAAAACCAACAAGGAAATATTGCTCATGGGTTGATTTTAAATATTATAAACCCTCTTTATTCATGAAACAAAGGTTCTCAAAAATAAGATTTTTGTTCACATGTAATATAGCTTCATGCTTAAAATTCATTTTAGTTAATATTTATACAACATACAACGTTCTTCAGAATATCAAGTAACTTATTTTCAAAAGTCTCATGAATTTTTTAACCTCTTTAGCCCTGTCGAACTTAATTTGAGATACCTTCAATGGCTAAACATCTGTAGATGTTTACAAATAAGTGTAAATACAAAAATAATGAGTTGTTTATTGTAAATTTAATTTTTATTTTATTGTTTTATTGCAGTGTTTTATAAGTTCTACTGAGGAAAAAGAACTATATGAATTTTAAAATACCAGCTTCTACATTCTTCTCAGTTCATCATTACTACTTCCTCTTTCTCTTCTGATTCTGTCGTTGTATATTTATGTATATTATTTTATATATTTACTTTAAATGCTCAAAGACTGTTTATATGTTAACCATGGGATCATAATATATATATTTATTTTAACAACTATTTATTAATTATTATTTTACTGTGTGCATGTTGAACTCCGTCTGTGTATTTTATTTTATTTATAGGCATATAGTCAAAAACTTATGATTTACTTTTAATTTTTATGCATGAAGTTCAGGATTTTTGTAAAGTAAATTTCTTATGCACAATAGCCATCCACGGTGATTGCCAAAATCTATGTGTGAATAAAACTCAACATCCAGATATTTAAAAATGATTTATTAAATTTTTGAACTTTTTCAAACTTGACTTAATTATAATTATAACTGCAATAATTTATTTTAATCATTACACTTACAAGTGAATTATGATCATTCTTTCTCTAGATTTTTTTGTTTTTTTTTTTAAACTTGTTTATTAATTTTCCATAGATATTATTTTAATTTAAAAAAATAAATATAGAATTGCCAATTTCCAGGATTATTTTTTTCATTTAATGTTAATTATGAATTCCCTCCAAAATTCTGAAATTTATTTCATTTTTCATGTGTTCTTTGAATTTTTTTCTTGTTATCTACCATATACATTCTAATATTGAATAACGTGATTTCTACATCTCAAATATTCCATTTTTTGTATAATTCTACTTATCTAATTTTTTATTACCGCCGTAAAAATAGTGCATTATGAAAGTCAGATAGCTACAAGAACTAGTGCAATTGCTATAGTTATTGAAGTTAAGCCCAGCCTAGCATGGTAAAAACTTGGATTACTGACTACTTAGTTCAAAGAAGTAAAAATCCAATGGTTAAGCACTGTTTCTCAGTTAGGTAAGGAGTCCACAGTCTGTTATTCCTATTATAATCATTTATAGGTGATAGACAACTTAAACCATCGATGTCCTAGTAAAATTTAAACAATACAAAATTAATTTTTATTTTGTTAGAAATTGCTTATTATCGATTAAATCTAGGAGATGATAGTCTGGCTTCAATAAAAAAATAAAGGACAGTGAATTGAATATCCATATAATGTGTGCCAACGTTTCAATCTATCTTGTTCTTTGTGTAGTTGTTCTTCAAATTGGAGTAGGATTAGAACAGGATGATAAACATTGGGCAAATAAATAAACATTGGGGATGTACACTAAGATGAAATACAAGAACAGTGGTGTAGGTAGATCATTCGAGGCTTAGGACAGATTTATTTTTTAAATTAAAATACAAAACTCAACATCCAGTTTGTATATAAATGTTAAATTTGTACTTTTTTCAAACTTAATTTTTAATTGTAATAATTTATTGAAGAACCCTAATATAAAAATTAAATTAAACAAAAAATGAACAAATTTTGATTTAAAATACTTTGAAAAGTTCTGTAGCACTATAGGATTGTTTTTTCTTTATATCACTACTAAGAGCATCATAAAAACCTATTATTTCTTTTTGATTTATTAGTACAATTTCATATTTTAATTCCCTCTGCTATTTTACTATTTAGCTGACTATTATAACAGTGGCATACTACAAAATATCAAAGAGAATAAACATGTGAAAAAGTTACATACAACCTTTTGCTCTTACAGTAGAGAAATAAACTTTTTGTAATTCCTTGAGTTGCAATTTGTATCGCTTACTCTATTATCTTCTAAATTTTTTATCTTGATTAGAGGTGTAAAAAAATTATCTAATTAATCAGCACAGAGAATACTCACACTTGCTGATTACCGAGGAATTTAATTGATTTTTAAGTTGATTGTCAGTTATACACTAATAACAACGAAGTGCTGGTTACTCAATATAGTGTTTGTCCAATTTGCATGTCAATAGTTGTATACTATACTATCCTTATGTATGTATACTAATTTATCTAATTTTTTTTTTTACACGAACCGGCCAACAAGGACCGCGCGAATATCATTTCCGTTTCCTCTTCACACCCTCAGCCTTCCTCTTACTCCAATACTCTCTCATCCTCCTGGACTGTTCCTATTGCTCTTCCTCAGTCCATTTCCTCCTTCGTCTCTCCCTCCCACACACAAGAACCCCAACCCTTTTCAGTTTTTTTCTAAAAAGCTGTCTTCCAAGCAATCTTTATCTGTGATTTTTAGCCTGACTAGTTCCTCTTTTATTTTTTTTACATATCCCCCCATACTTTTATAGCTGCAAACTTTGTCAAAAATTTTCTTGTTCAGTCTTTCACTATCCATCCTGACCATGTGCCCATAGAACCTCAGTCTTCTGATCATGACGACTGTTTCCAAATCTTCCAAATTTCTGTATATTTCTTTATTGGATTTTAGCCTGTATATCTCTTGCGTTACCTTAGGTTCGTGAATCCTCCTCAGAATCTTCCTCTCAATCTTCAGGATTTTCTCTAGGCTCGGAAGGCTGACTGTTTCCATACCATATAATATTACAGGTCTTGCTACTGTACAGTAATGCCTTATTTTTGCATTTGAGGACAAATTTTTCTTGTTGTAAACATTCCTGGTAGAGAAGCTCAGTCTTTCCAGTTTGGTTATTCTTCTTCTATTGATGCCTTATCCGTTCCGTTACTACATATTATCTCCCCTAGTTATTTAAACTTTTTGGACACTTTATTTTCCCATATTTTGTGTCCAATATTTTCTTGGTGAAGTTGGTATCAGTTGTTATAATTTATGTTTTTTCATAAGAGATATGTAGTCCCATTTTCTCGGATATTTCTTTCAGGGTGTTTACCTTAATCCATTTGTTAATTACTTTTTTTTTTTTTTTTTTAGAATACAGAACATGAAAACAGGTGATGGAAAACCTGAATTTTCTGGCACTTTCGATGTTTTTCTTAAAATAATGAAAAGTGAAGGGATATTTGCACTATGGAAAGGTTTCACCCCCTATTACGGCCGAGTAGGGCCTAATACAGTATTAGTATTCATATGTTTAGAACAATACACTAATTTATACAGGAAATACTTTATGAAAGAAAACTGAAGAACCGATGATAAAAAGTTTTTATGGGTATCAACCAAGAAAACTTCACTTCATGAGGAATTTAGAAGATGCTGACATAATATTAAATAATTTTATGCATAGAATGAATTTTTAATGAAAAAATACTCAATCCTAGTATTAATCCTACATTCGAACTATGCAACAGCTTTAACAACTTGGTAAGTTATTTAGTTTTCATAAAGAATATAATAATAATAATACTTTATTTATTCTGGGGCGAGTCCCTTTAGAATAATACAGAAAGACATAAATATGGGCTAAGGAGCCTTAGAGATACATAAATAAAAATACAGAGTAATTAAACAGTCATAGTAAAAAATGAAAAATTATAAGTTACTTTCTAATTTTAATCAGTTAATAATAAAAAATAAAAAATTGAAAAAAAAAAAAGGATGAAGTAAAAATAATGAAGAACGAACTAATAATTTATTTACATTAGTATCTACTTACAATTTGATGGGGACTGGATGGATAAGAAATGATTGAACAGGCGGGATTTAAAGTTAGGAAGGGTATTGGATTGACGAATGTGAGAGGGGATGGAGTTCCAAAGGGATGAGGATCCAATAATGAAAGATCTGTCAAAAGCAGCGGTTCGGTGGTCCCTTATGTACAAATCAGAAGTGCGGGAACAAACAGAGGATTTGAATTGAACGACCTCGGAGATGTATGAGGGGCGGGTTCATGGATACCTTTAATTTTTTTTTTCCTATATATCTCTATATCAACTGTAGTGAAGCACTAATATTAATATGATAATACGGGATGAGGTATCTATGAAGAAAAATTGACAAAGATGTCTAAAATAGTCGTTTAAATGTAATGTTTAGCGAGAGACACTTAGTTGAGCTCTTGACTGGTCGAGAGATACTCTAAGACTGGTAAGATAAAATGTAGATGGAAAGATAAAGACATTTTAGTGTAATTTGTTCACATTTCAGTAATTTAAGTATAAACTTACTTATCAACTTATTGTTAATATTATCTAAGATATTTTTATTATTATTATTAAACATAATTGCGAAATATAACAAAGAAATAGCATAAAACTATGAAAATTAATATTGAGCTACATTAAGCAGCACATAAAACTAGGTGACTAATTGGAAAATTAATCATAAAAAAATTTACTATTAAAAATAAAAATTTTATAAAGGTTTACAAAAATGTTTATATACAGAGTGTTCCATGGGGAAGTGTCAACGAGGAATAGTTACCAAAAGTTCAGCACTGCGCACCTTCTTATCTAAATCAGTTGTAAAGATAGGTTTTTAAGAGTTATGTGTGAAAACCAAGTTTTTTTCTCTATTACAGTCCAAAGTTCTCTAATACAACTTGTACTAATGAACATTCCTCACCTTTCATCACCAATTTTGAAATCTACAAAGAATTTCCCTGCCAATTATAAATCAATTTGTGGGAAAGTATTGCTTTGTATTCGTAACAGCCAAAGCAAAGTAAAGAAGCAAAATTATTAATTTTCAGAAGTTATATTGGGAACTTTACAAAACTTACTTCATATTATCTGCTTTCCATACTCATCTTTGCAAAGCTAGTCTAATTGTTAATGTTATAAGATGAAAAAGCTCCTACAACAATATGTGTAAATTTTTTTTTTTCATGGCATAATTTTCATTCTACTACAAAGCATAAAGTTGGTGGGTGCTATATATGATTTTACTAATATCAAATCTCTTGTAAATTTAATGTAGTACAGTTGAAGGGACAAAAAAAAAGTATTACAAATGTTTGCGGTAGTAACTCGACCCTTATATATGAGATAGCAAAACCAGAACAAAAGCATAGCTAGTTGCTCACATTGTAAGTACCTAAAATTTTGATCAATTTCTTTTCAAAATTAGACTAGATTTGCAAGATTGGGTATAATGTTGGAAATATGGTGAAATAAAGGAATATCTGTAATATCCAGAAGACTGTAGCCAAAAAATTTACTGTGTGGGATCCTAAGAAGTAGTTCTGAAAATAATTCATATATACTTGTTTAGTTTGCCATTATAATGGTCTCACAACACAATATTTTTTTACAAATAGTAGTTATCTTAAAGGAAATTCATCTTAGAGTTTGAAAATGTTGACCAAAGCTGAAAAATTTTCATTTAAATTAGAGAAATTTGGATTGTAATTTTTAAAACAACATGGTTCTTGGAAAACCTTTAAAAACATTATATCTTGACAACCGATTGAGACAGCGAGACACCCAATATTTTCCTAAGCCTTCATGGAAAAAAAAAGATTGAATAAAAGTTTATATGACAAATTCGCAAATAATTCACCTAATTTTATATAAGCTGCACTCACTATAAATTTATATTTTTTTATCTCTCCCAATTATGTTTAATATTTTCCCCATGATAAACTATACTCGTATATAGAGGTCAGCATTTCTTATGTCACTTGTAGTGTTGAAATTTTTGTTAAATTTCAAACATATTTCAGTTAATTTCATTTGGATCTTTTTCAATTCTCAGATGGTCTTGTAAATCAGTGAAGTATCAAGGCATAAGGCAAATTAATAAACAGTATGTTAATGTTGACTTTACATCAAATCAAATTCAACTTAATATCTAAACAAGTTGATGAAATCTCAGGTAAATTTCTTATACTAATCAAGATGATTGTCAGAAAAAGTCAAAATGAAACACGATTTTTGAGTATTTTTTGTTCGTCAATGTTTTGAATGTAGGCCTCTTTGTTGAGACAATGAATACCAATGCAAAAATTATGTTATAAATTTAAAAATAAATTTAATTATAAAAGAAGACTCACAAAAAAAAAAAAAATTGAAAAATTTCAAATAAAATATATTGATTACAATCAAAGAGTCAAGTGGGAAAAAGGGATACATTAATTTTTGGCAAAAATTGAAATATTGCTAATAGTAAAGGGGTAGAATGATATATTGTTAATATTTTTTATTTCTATACACAAATTCAATATTTGGTTCATTGCTGAGTTGATCGAGGTGCCCACTAATGATAAACATTGGTCTTATAGATTGACGAAATTTGAATTTAGTTTTATAAGAATTTGAAAATATTATTTATCCCCTTATCTATGTTCTGAGAATAAAAATTGGAAAGAACTATATAAACATAGATAGAAATAAAAATAGATTACTATAGATTAAAAAAAAATTAAATACAAATATTTATTTGTGATCGTATAATTATATTTTGTTGTCTTACAAAATAATCCCATAGGTTGATATTAGTAAATGATTTTATTTTTTTAAAACAATGTTTGGCTCCAAGTATCAGAGTATATATTTCAGCCATTGTTTCTTCTTATAGATAGAAAAATAATTTTATTCTGGGACACAGTCCCTTGAGAATAACAAAATAGAACAAAATTAAAAGATCACATCTGGCCAAAATAAAATCAATCGAAAAAAAGAAATAATGTAAAAAAAATATAAGGTAAACATTCTATATACAAAAAACGAAACTATATACAAAACAATTAATACTATGACAAGGCACTTAAAGCTATTTGCACTGATAGACTCGTATACACTTTTGAGAAAATAATAAAGAATTAAAATTAAAAATGTATCAATGAATCAATCAATGAATTTGTATGTATCAAATTCTCTATTAAAATCAGCTCGAATGGTTAGCAACTATCTGACTGTTCTTGGGATAGGAATTGGAATAGGAGGGTTTTGAATTTGGATATGGATGGGGAATGTCGAATTTTGATTGGGAGGGAATTCCAGAAATTGACAGAGCGAACAATAAAGGAATTTTGGAATGAGGCAGATCTGTGAGAAGGCATGTAAAGGTTAGAAGGTCGAGATCTTGTGGACAGGGAATGGACTGAGGATTTGAACTGGAGAAGGTTGTAGGCGTAAGAAGGACGATGGCTGTTGATGATTTGGTAGAGGAACGTACCTAGGAAATATATAAGAATATATAAGAAGAATATATAATAAATATATAAGAAGGTTTATCAGCTAATAACTTATATATTTATATAACATGCTAATATAGATCCCTTTTCTGGCTCTCATGAGCGATGGATTTTGACAAATGAGGTGTCTGTAGTGACATATTCAATTCATGGTTCAAAATTCCAATGTTGGTAAGTTGAAAGATCAAGACAGAACAAATTATGTTTTAAATATTTCAATATGGACATTTAGATCCGATATAAAGTTTCTTAAGAACCTATCAGGCAATACAGTTTAATAAAGCCTTATAATGTTCCGTTTTCTTGATAGATTGTAATTCAAATTTATTAGACAAAAGAAGAATTGATATCTGATGCAAGATTTCTTGCACAAGTATATTAGAATTTATATATGGTTGAGGGTTGCATTCAAAGTGAAATGAAATACACATGAAAAAAATTTATTTTCTCTGTGCTGATATTTTGACATAAGTTTTAGGACTTCATCAGTGCTAAAGAAAGCCAATTTAACAACCAAACAAAACATATTAGCAATTAAAATAAAAATATCATTTTATGAAAAATAGTATGTTATCTACTAATAAATAAATACTAAGAAGGGAATAAAAATTACCTTGTGAAAGATAAATTAAAATAATATATATAAATACTTACCAAGGCATCAAAATATATATGAAATATTTTGATCTATATTGCATTAAAAAAAAAAAAAATCAACAGAAAAGAATTAGATTTCAGGTTTCAAGAGGGAACTTACAAGAATGTAAGATCTTGTAAAATAACAAAATCCTAGAAACTTAAAGATTCTTATATTTGATATTAACTTAAAATGAAGGCATGCACTTGTCTAGTTTTAAGGTTTTGTTGACCACCCAGCCGCAATACATTTTAAAAATTCGCCTAGTTTAAACACTATAATAATTAAAAAATATGTAACTAATTGAAAAACTAGATGAATAGTGCAATCCTTGATTAATCATGAATAATAAATGAATAACTTTATATTTATCCTATTTTGAATAAAATTAAATAGAGTCCAATCTTCCCTTAAAAGCTGGTACCCTACGTTGTACTTGCATCAACCTATCGAACTCTTCTTCTTCCATTTCTTCCTCGATCTGATAGAGGTGGATAGCAGCCTCAACGTTCTTGTACCTGATGGCAATGTTGAGAGGTGTATGCCCATAGATGTTCTGAGCAAATATGTTTGCTCCCTTCCTCAGTAAGAGGTCAATGCACTTTATATACCCAGTCTGAGCGGCTTTGTGGAGGGCGGTGTCCAGCTTGATGTTGTCAGTTGCCATCACATTGGCACCGGCTTTGATAAGGAAATTGACGTTCCTCAACTCTCTGTACTTGCTACAAGATAGGACGGCCAATGACAAGATAGGCATACTCGACTTAGCTCTGAAGTTGGCATCTGCTCCTCCTTTCAGCAAGTGTTTTACCAGCGATGCACTGTTTCGGGCAATCAGTGAGAGTGACAATGGCGTTTGATCGAAGCAGTCCACCACGTTCACCTGTTGATGCAACCTTTTTGATATGCAATTGCCTAGTCATTATATATTAGAGGTAAACTATCTCTGTAATCAAACTCAATGTTGACTACCAGTAAATAATCTATTTCACAGTTTCCTAATGTGTAGCTCATCAGCTGACTGAAAATGAATCACAAATATTTGTACATACAAATTAGTTTTGTTGTGGCTTTATGCTAATTAAAGTCATCTTCACATTAAAATTAAAACTGTTTCAATAAAAAAAACCAAAAAAAAAAACCTGTTAAGCCTAAAATATGAGGTAGGGGAGAGAAACAATAACTGATGGAGATTTCAACTCCTATCAGCACCAGTTGTCTTCAGTACACTTTTAAGCATTACAGTGGTATATTTTGTTAAATCCACCATCTAGCAGTTATTTTGTGAATTTTTAAAGAAATATACATCTTCCGTATATACCATAAGTGAAGTATTTTCAAAAAGTGAAATCTGCAGTGAAAGTATTAATCTCGCCAAACCAAATTATTAGAAAATGCCCGTTTTTCTTGAACCAAACAAAGGAAATATTTCTTAATAGAGACGAGACAGAATATTGAACACTAACAGGCCAACAATGAAACCAAATCTATTTTAAAATTTGTCTCATTTTTACAATATTTCCATTGAGCTAAGCATACTTGGTATCTTAAATTACTTTTTAATTTCTTTGACCCCATTTTATTTCCCTTCGGTAAGACCTTTAAGTGTTCAGGGTAGTGATAGAAAATAACTCTACAAACTTCTAATATGAATTCATTACAATTCAATTACCCATACATGAATGCAGTGAGAGAAGTATGATTCCAAGTTTGGAGTACGGACTATTGTGAAGGTCTGGGATGTGAAAGCTCAAAAAAAGCCATAGTCAAGAGACAAATTCTGCTTGAGTTACTCTCCAGTGGAATTCTGGTTACTGAAGTATCAATGGAAATGAAAAAACAGTCTGATTGGTAAAATATCAGTCCAGACACAGATTCAGCTGTACTCTATAGCTTAGTTCTTCATCATATCTACCGTTAAAGCTGAAACAGAAAGAGACTACAAAATAAATAAAGAACAAGTACTATCAAGTTCTAAGGGAAATGTCTGCCGATCTTCCCAGAAAAGAAGCTATTTCTAAACTTAAATTGAAAACAAGACACAATTACTTACTTGCACACCTACACAAAATTAGCAGAAATATAACAATGTTTTCCAATTTAAGAGACATTGGCTGGTGACCACCTGAACTCATGTTCAGGTTTATAAGACCTAAAGGAATTTATTATTATAATCTGTCAAAAACTCAAAAAAATCTATGTATTTAATGTCTGTCATTTTCTATTGTTGGAATGATTTCTTGAAGATTTCGTCAAATTACTGGATTCTGTTGATAATCTATTCTATTTCCTACACTTAAACTATTGTAATATCACCTTACATTAGCTTCATAATTAATCAGTATGACAGTTGCTCTGACCCTGCCAAAGAAAGCTGCAATGTGTAGGGGAGTCCTTTCGAAAGTGTGCGGTTTGTTAGGATCAGCTCCAGCTGCCAGCAACATTTCCATTACCTGTTAAAAACAGTCGATATTATGTATAAAGACTAAGTATAGAAAAAAATATTATGGAATCAGAGACTTATCAGATCCCTGATTGCAATTCCAATTAAAAACCAATCGCAATCACTCAAATTATCATACCCAAATTTAATAATCATACAATGCCAATAAACGCAATGATTCAAAATGTGTTGTTATATATATCTTAATGTCAATGATGTATTCAATAATTAACTTACAAAAACAATTGGGTGCCTCTTCCATCTTTATTAAACAGGCGTGGCCAAAAAGTGTTTTAATTATTATTTTAAAATACTATGCATTTTATGTTTTAAAATACTATGTATTTTGTGCTTTAAAATACTTTTATATAAATATTTGTAAATAAAAATATAAATATTTTGTGTTTTTTTAAATACTGTTACAAGGCTTGGGCAGGTTGTGAAGGGAGGTGATTGGGCCAAGATCACACTCAACCACCAGATTTTTCTCCTTAATTAATTATTTAATTAAGAGTGCCTACTTTATAACGGCTGGGTATGCCCTACCCCGGAGTCTTCTATTCCCAGAGTTGATCTATGGCTGATGAAAAATTACTAGTCATCAGCCAGATTTGAACTTGAGACCGTGGGCTATGGAAGTCAGTGTTCACCCTCTGAACTACGCCACTCCCTTGTTTTAGAATACAGAGTTAATTACCGTGTATTTAAAATACTTACAGAAAAAGTATTTTAAATACAAAATACATTTAAAATGTCAAAAAATAAAATACAAGTACTAAATACTCATGTCTAAAGTGCTTTGTTGCCCATCTTAACCTCCCTGCCTTTATATCATGAAATATTGATTGACCAGTTTCTGTAAGCGTTTCTTTATTGGTCGTTCTTCTCTATGTGTTAGTACTCTGATCCCAGATCTCTCCGGTTATCATATGGAAGATTTTCCTCTCAAATCTTTCAACACTGTTTTCTAGGGTGCTGGTTAATGTCCAGGTTTCGCAGCCATATATTATAACTGGCTTTATCATAGCATTGTATACCCTTAGTTTGAGATTTTTCGGGATTCCAATACCTTTGAGAGGGAAAAGAAAGCTCTGTATGTGTACTAGTTATAGGCTGATCTATTTCTGGTCGTTGGTCATTCATTGAGGTTATTGTGGAGCCGAGGTATTTGAATTTTTTTAATATTGGGAATGATTTTCCTTCTTCGCAGATCCTGTAAATGGGGTGGACTTTTCGGCTTATTATCATATATTTTGTTTTGTCTTCATTTACTTGTAGAGCGATCTGCTCTGCCTCTCTTATCAGTGTTGTAGCGAGTTTCTTAATGTCTTCTTGATTACTTCCAAGGACAGCTATATCATCTGTGTATCCAAGGATTTATGATTCATTCCGACGTGATTTATGAATTATAATTTTTTTATACTTTATTCTTAGAGGATACTTTATAAATTACAGAATACTTTATTCAATCAATATTTTTTTATGAGAACAATTTGTTAAGAAAGTTATAATGGCTGAGAAAAAAAATAACAGACTACATAGATATTAATTTCAAATCAAATTTGTTGCCAATTAGCTTTCAATAATATCCGCTCCTAAAATTGATTATTCAACAATTTCATTCTGGGAGCTTTGAACAAATTAGAGAACTAATACTCAACAATTGTCCAAGATAATTGTATTAAAACTTCACCATCATTGACATAAAAAATTTTCAAACTCAATTTTCAAGGAAGAGTTCTTATGTACGATCAGCTTTATTATATAACTTTCTTAATTTTATAATGTATTTTATATATAAAATACATAAAATGTATTCTATTTTATATTTTAAAATATTTTATTGAAAAACTGTCCAATTCTGGAATTAACTAATGGAATAATATTGATATTTTGTTTATTCAGGCATGCTTATAGGTTTCAAAAATAAAACAATAAAAGAAGACTCACCTCAATGTTGTCATGCATGATGGCGAGAACAAGAGGTGTATTTCCAAAGATAGTCTTTCCATTCAGGTCTAATTTTTTTCCATATTCTATTGAACATTTGATTAGAGTAGCAGTAAAAACGGAGAAACCTTTCTCTGCAGCGATGTGCAGGGCAGTCACCTTGTCGTCTTGCGAGGCATTTGGGTCTGCGCCTTTCTCAAAGGCTCTCTCGCAGCTTTGACTATCATTCAGCAAAGATGAGTGGAGCAGGAGCTGATCTCCTTCTGCTATCGAACCTTGAAATGGTGCATATCAAAGCTGTCTCGCCTTTACTATGATTTGCAACTTGATCCTTAACAAGAACATGGACAATCATATAGTCATCATATGAAATGTCATTTCCTCTTTTTGAAGTATGATAAAAAAAGGAAAATAAAGATATTACAACCCATTTATCAGTTAAGAAAACATTAGAAAAAAAAAGTGGAGGTTGACTAATTTTGTGTGTAAAAAAGGCATGTCACAAAAATTAAATTTAAATTTAGCACATGCATATATACCAAATCACGATTTTTTCTCTATTGATTACTTTAATAATTTAGTGTATTTCTTCTTGATTTTATTACAGTTATTCACAAAAAATGACATTTCATGACAAGATATTAAAATATATGTTCTTTAAATATAATGCTTTTTTATTTATTGTCAATATGAATATAGATTAAGTCTTTATCATGTTTTTAAATATATATATACGAATATACTATTAAACCAACCTGAAGTAATTAATTACTAATGTCAAAGAGTATAATTGTATATAGTATTAATAACTGAACTATTTGTTATTCAGTTATTGTATATAGTACATAGTTTCTTTGTATATAGTGCAGAGTATCATTCTATATAGTACAGTAAAGTACAGTACTATATACAATGATACTATGTGACAAATAAGATAGACATACAAAATCATTTACAGTCATAAAAAATAATATATTATTCATGGACTAAATAACTTTTCCCAATTTAATTGGAAATCAACCAGTTGCCAGAAATGTAAGATTTGATTATTCACTTTAGTCGCAGTGAAGTTATCCATACCAAAAGTACTTTTATGATATATATTTATTAAATAAAATAACTTATTTTTTTATAAGCAGTAGACAAATGGGGCACTAAAAACTCTGAGAAAATAGGTTCTCATGTTTCAAAAGAGATCTTGACAGAGTATTCTGTTAACTATTAGTTATTGAAGAGAGAGATTGGTTACTTGGTACACGCTTTATTAAAGCCAAATTTTATTCTATTTCTGTAGCTGAATCATGACAGAGATACTACAAAACCTGTTCTCACTACTCTTACAATGTAAGTGTTATGAGGCGAATAAGGGATGCAACCAGCATTCACCATAACTGAGGGGGAAAGAAGGTATTCAATTCATAACCAATTCAGGAGACCCATAAAGAAAATATTAGGGTAAATGTTGATCAAATATTAGTGTGAATTAAATTAAATTCAATTAAAGTTAATTTAATTTGTTATCAAAGATAATAATAAAAAAAAAAGGTTATTCACATGCAATAATACAATAGAGAGTGAAATAAAGGCCAGGATAGCAGCTGGAAATAGATGCTATTTCTTACTGCAAAGAGACTTGAAATTCAGATCACTCTCTAAAAGAATCAAAATTCTCATCTACAAAACCATAGTAATGCCAGTGGTAATGTGTGGGTGTGAGACTTGGACCTTAACCAAAAATTCAGAATGCACGCTCAACTTCTGGGAGAGGAAAGTATTGAGAAGAATATATGGCGGAATCTTTGAGAATGGAATTTGGAGAAGAAATGATGATGAGCTTTATAGTGAACCTGATATTGTGGTATTGATAAAAAGAGCCAGAATGTTTGGTCATGTGGAAAGAATGCCAGACCAAAGAATGTCCAAGAGGATGCTGCATGAGAAGCGGGATGGCAAAAGAAGTAGGTAATGGGCGCCCTCAGATCAGATGGCTGATGGATGTGGAGGATGATCTGAGGTGGCTGGGGGTTCAAAGATGGAGTAGCACAAGACTGTGAAGATTGGTTGACTGTAGAGGAGAAGTCCTGGGTTCTTGCAGGATCTTAGCTCCATAATAATAATAATATGTAAAGAATGGAAAATAAATGTTATTTGAGTTATGATATTTCTGTAATATAATATATTGGCGACGAGATGTTCCCATGCACCATTGGACAAAGGTAAGTAATTAAATTACTTGTTTCCAGTCAATATTATAGTTATGGCTTCAGTTTATGTGCGTCATTTGTGTGAATTCACGCTTGAGAATGACTGATCTATCTTCAAAGGAAGATTGGACAATTATTTCACAATCAATTCTCTGGTAAGCGAAAAGACCAAGCGGGTGTTGTTTCTTAATTCATGTGATGAGGAAGCCTATAAGCTGAAGTTGAGTTTGTGTGTACAGCAGAAGCTCCATGACTTTCCGATTTTATAATGCTCAAAGGGAAAATAAAGAGACTATTCAAGATTGGTTGGCTAAAGTTCAGAGTTTGGCTAGTCATTGCTATTTCCAAGACCAAAAATATGGTAAGAGATAATTATGGTTATGGGCAGAGGTATAATAATGGATAGACTCTTTAAAGAAGGCATAACCTCTCTAAGCATTGAGAGATTGGAAATAACTTTGAACTAAGAGGATACATCACATTTGTATGACATGGGATGATTTTTGTAAGATATTGGATGATTCCGGATGATTGTCACGCGCAGAGAATTAGATCTCATGAACATGAACGTAGAAGTACAAGCAATAGATCTTGTGATTGCGGTTATAGGAATCATAAAGCCGGTAATTGTAAATTTAAAAATGCTGTTGTCGACAGGCCATCTCAAAAGAGTCTGTGCTTGGAAATGTGAAGCACCGAAGAGAAAGGAGGCGAAGAAATAATGACCCGCTCTTCAATACTTCTGGAGGCAAGAAAAATTCTACTTTCGATGTTGAATTGTTAATAGAAGGAGAATCAGTGGTAATTTCCGTGGAGACAGGCTCATCTTTATCGTTGATGCCTCTTGATCTATGTTCAAAAAAGTTTAGACATATAAAGCTGCAGGAGACTAATAAATGTTGGTTAACCTAGTGTGGCTCAACGTTTTCTCCGTGTCCAACGTATGGTCGGTGTTGAACTTAACGAACAGATTTTTATGGACCAATCATTATACATTGTTAATACCAAAGGACCGCTTCTCCTGGGTAGAGATTGATTTTGTGCGTTTACAAATTGACAATGGAAAGGTTTTCAGTAAAACTGCAGCTGATACCAAAACCTTATTTGAAAGAGTAGAAGAAGTTCATTCCTCGATCTACTGATTTTTTACATCCTTTGTAACAGCAGCTTCACAAAAATTGTGAGTGGAATTGGAACCGTGTTTGTAAGTAATCTTTTAAGATACTGAAACAAATAGTCACGTCTCCGGTAGTTTTAGATCATTATAACCCAATTTTCTTCTTCAGGCTTACGGTGGATGCCTCAGAGTGTGAAATTCTAGCCATTTTATACCAATTATTTCGAGAGGGCGAAAGGCCTTAGGCATTTTCAAGCAGAACGTTTACGAGTCATGAACAAAATTATTCAGAATTTGATAAAGAGGCTTTATGAATTATCTCTGGATTAAAAAAATACCATGTCTATGTGTTTGGAAAACATTTTTTGTTAATTTGCGACAACCTGCCCTTAGTCCACATCTTGGACAGGAAGAAACCGGTTCCGATAAACAGGCTGCAGCGGTGGGCTCTATTCCCTGCGGGATATGATTATGAAACTTGGCATGTAGGGTAAAAGAAGAACTCTTCAAATTTCAAGATCATATGTATGGTGCCCCAAATCGGATAATGATATCGAAGAATATATAATGAATAACCAAATATACTTAGATAGTAAGGGTAATCCTCCGAAGGCTCCTATGATTCCATGGGCATGGCCAGGAGGACCCTCGGAAAGAGTACATATTGATTATACAGGGCCGATTTGGGATAGATATTATCTGATTGTTCTGGACGCTTATTCTAAGTGGGTTCAAGCGATTCCGTCTAAAAGCATGACTGCAGAAGGAACTATAAAGGTATTAAGAGATTTATTCGAACGTTTTGGAGTTTGTGACATCTTTCTATTCCAGAGAATTTATAACTTTTCTCAAGGGAAACGGGATTGAGCAGAGATCAGGCACTCCATACCAATCCCAAACAAATGGGGCTGCAGAAAACGCTGTAAAACCATAAAGAGAGCGATACGAAGTTTGGTAATACCATCAACTTCGAAAGAAAATGATTTATCAATTTTTTTAATGGATTATCACAACTCCATACACGGCACAACGGGCAAATCACTGATTTGCTTCTTGGAAAACAATTACGAACACTATTAGATTTACTTTGTCCTGACCCAGTGAGTAAGACAGTTTACAGAAACCAAGGCAACAATTGGAGTATGCCAGAGAGACGAAGGAGATGAAGTTTAGTCTGAATGGGAAAGTATGGGTGATGGATTTTAGGTCTCCCAGAAGATCCTGGAAGAAAGGAATTGTTCATGAAATATTTTGATACAGGCTATTCTGTGTGTTTGTACCAGAATTGGACGGATATTGAATGAGGCACGCAGATAAATTGCGCGGGAGGAGTGATGAGGTAATTTTAGAAGATAAAGGCAACACCAGCAGATTACAGACTTCCAACATTTCAAACAATGGACAGACATTGCAGGTATCTGCTGCTCAGCAACCAGTAGATAATATGTCAGGCACTTACAAGTGCCTCCTCCTTTTAGGGACCGTCGTCCACCCAGACTTCATATTGAAGAAATTTGAATTATGTTAATAATTTCGGAGGAGAGAAGTTGTAATGTATTATCGAATTTACTTTTAGTAAACACTAATCGATTATCTTTTGGCAATGAGGTTGTCCTTGGTAACGAAATAAAAACAAAAACAAGCTGTTCATTCTTTATTATGGTATACTTAAGCAAAGATTGAAAAAAAAAGTGTATCAGGATTAAGTGGCCAAACTTAAAAAATGATCTAAGTACCTCAAAACTAGAAAAAAAATTCCTTCGAAGGTATTTCCGCAAACGCTTTGTTTAAAAGATATTCACACCGGACTTTGATAGACTTTTTGATTAATGTCAGCCCAAACATAAAAATCCGTTTGTGTCAGGTCAGGAAAGCGTGCAGGTCATGGCCAAGCCACTGGTCCTGCACGGCCAATCTATTGTTTCGGATATGAGATATGATCGAGCAAGTCCGGTCAATGACCGTAATTCCTTACGAACAGTCATAATTGAATCTCGTGAAACAATTACACATATCCAGTGCCGTTCTGCCACTGCTGCTGTTAAAGAGGCTGTCTTAATGTTCAAGGAAATCACTTTGAACAACATTTAATATGAATGTTAATGTTTACGTTGAATTAATAAAGTAGTTAGAATAAATAAATATGTTTTATTTATTTCATATTTCGTAAATAATTCATAACAACGAAAATCTTTACGTGTGAATATCTCCTAAACAAAGCGTTTGCGAATAAAGCTATAGAGGAAATTTTATTCTTGTTTTCAGGTCCTCAGTTCATTTTTTCAGCTTGGCCACTTAACCCTGAAACACTCTGAAGATAACTTCTAATAAAATTCGTACTTATACTGGATGGATAAGGAATTGGTGGTATGGATTTGTTTACCTGTTATCATTGCCGGAAACGAATATTGTTTCAATGACTCGTAGATATAGAAGACCAGGGTCTGACTCTGGAAGTTGAAGTCGAGCTATGCCGCTGGAATTCTTGCCAACTGACACGTTTTGATGTAGTTTGTATTACTCGACATCGAAGTTGATTTGTTGACACATGTTTTTTTTTTAAATATATTGAATTCAAAGTTATGCTTAATGGATTCAAATAATTGTTTTGTATTATCTCGCTGTAATGAATGAAGAACTTGAGATTTTGGGCAATCACTATTTCATTACTCGCTTAGTATTACCGTCTAGAAGAATTTATCAAAAGATTAGTGTTATAAAATAATGAAGGGGGATTATTCAACAAATTTTTATGCTGTTACAAAACCAATCACAAATAAAGGTGTGGGTTTTTGCAGCTGTGTAACAGTAATTTGTTTACGGCAAAATATTTGTCAATAATCTTGGTTTCTGTAATGTATCATAAAACGCAGGGATGACTTTCTTGTTATCTAAATTTTTTATTGCTCTGATAATGATAAGTTTCAAATTGCCTCGGGTTAGTTCTATTGATGCTGTTTCTAATCTAACTGACGAATTTAACATTTATGACATTTTTCATTAAAGATTTATTGCATGTGCAGTAAGTTTTCATTTAGTGGACTATCATTGTTGAATTTATTAGTGATGTTACAGGTATGATTAATTTTGTTTTCGTTCCGAATAATAATCCATCCACATTCATTTGTTTTTATTATTTTGTATAATACATTTATAAAAAAAAAATTACAAAACAATCTTTAGAATGAATGAAAGCTTTACAATTAAATACATTACGTAAGCACTAATTATCCTGTAATTTATTACGACCCTCCTCTTCTGCTTGTCGGATGAGAGGTAAAAATAAAAATAAAACAATTATCTAGATGGGCTTTCTCCACGCCCTTACTATCACGTCTTGTTTTTATTAACCGCTAATAATTTAATGAGCGCAGAATCCATTCTTCTCCCTTTACAGCGTCTACGAGTTTTACCGTACTATGCTTATGCGGGAACGAAAAAATTCCAAAATGTTTCTTTAAATGAGATGTATGGCCTGACCCAAGGAAATATTCTTTAACACTTTTTGTTAGTTTCCTTCTGGTCAGCCCGATATAAACGGCCTGAGAGACTCAATCGTGTAAAACCCACTCTTTCAAATCAGAGTTGGGCATACTTGTCTCCTCATTCCCCCGCAAGTGTATTTAAATTAGTGATATAGAATATTGTTATATTCACACAAAATTATCGATAAATATTCTTCTTTATTTAAAAAATATTTATATTTTTTTCAAATTTACAGGTCTAAATACATAATACCTATTTTTCCGTTGGTTATTTAATGTGTTGGCATGGATTAACACGGATTTATTATCCTTTTTGATCGGGACAGCGGTATGTTTGTATTTTCCATAGAAAATTGCAACTTACAAAAGAAATTATCCTAACCTACATCATTATCAAACGTGCTCATCGATTGTTTTATCTTAGAAGAAGATATTGAAGAACAAATTGAAGAAGGGTCTATTGCAATCATGCGTAATGATCATTGACGCAACTAATAACACATTCACAAGCCAAAAAAAATGTTATCTTTTTAGCGTAATATTGTTGTTGTTTTTTTCAATATTGTCAAAACTAGGTGTATGAATAAAGACATATATTTTATTCTTTCTAAGTTAAACATTGTATTAAGTATATTTATTGGATTTGATATTAACTCTACGTGCCGAGAGTGTGTAAAGGCCGGTCCACACGCTCCGTTTTGCACAACGTTTTGTCTGCGCAGTCTTAAGACGGAATGAAAACGTTGCAATTTGCAGAGCGTCCACACGGCACAGACATATCCGTATATTTTGCTCAGTTTTGTGTGAGATCGCCATGGAGGTGGTACTACTCTGGTCGATTTTCGCGATGTGTATTGTTAGAAAAAAAAGATTTGAACATCTCAGAAGTACCCGGCGTTCAAAGTGGTCGCGGAAGTGGCTTCTAAAAAGGCAGCACTTTTCCCATATCAAATTATTGCGTGAATTACGTGATGAACCTAATGATTGGCGGAACTACTTGCGAATGGACATTGACACATATACTTATTTATTGGAATTGGTGACACCGCATATCAACAAAGAAAATACTTGTATGAGAACAGCAATATCAGCACATGAAAGGCTAACAGCAACTTTAAGATTTATTAGCTAAAATTTCATACGCCTCCGCCTACTTATCCCTGTCACTGTATTCTTTTGATTTTACACGCCAAATGCACGGGAAACTTTCATACAGAGCAATAAAATCAGTTAAAAACTCCCTAGAACATTGCCGAAGGTCAGCCATTGTCGCCCGACGGATTGAAACTGAGTAGCAAAACGGATCGGAAAACGGTGCTACCGTCCACATGCGCCGACTTGCCTGCGCAGTTCAAGGAAAACTGAGCTGTCTGGCTCAGTTTTACTAAGACTGTACCGTCTTCCAAATGGATTCAAAACTGCACTGTTTTCCAGTCCACACGCAACGTTTTATCTGCAACGTTTTGAACTGCGCAGACAAAACGTTGTGCAAAACGGAGCGTGTGGACCGGCCTTAATTTGCGCCTCTGCTGCGTTCCTAGGATGTAACTGTTTCTCAAGCTCCCTCTCCGGAATCGAACCCTGATTCCCTGTTACCCGTGAGAGCCATGGTAGACACAGAATCTACCAACGACAGCTGATAAATCAGACATTTCACAGATACGTCGCCGGTACTGCGACCGTACGATCTGTGGTGTTATTTAGAGTAATCAAGTAGATCCCCGGGCGAATGGTTTTGATCCAATAAAATCATCCTTTCCATCGCTGGTCGTGACTTGGTTGCATGTATTAGTTCTAGAATCACCACAGTCATCCACGTGAGTGGCATATATTCGGTAAACTATGACCGGTTTACTCAGCCTTCTGCGGTTTCACTTTAGTTCAGCTCGTACTTGCATGGCTTAAGTTTTGAGACAAGCATATAACTCCATGCAAGAATCAAATATCCGAAGTGGCGAGGATAGTTTCTTTCTCTCCATATTTTATAATGGGGACCAGAATGTCTCCTCCTCCCCTAATATTTCACAGTAATTAAATTAAAATGACTCATAAAAAAGGCCGCGATGGCCGAGGATGTTAAGGCGTCATAAACTTAGCAATCTCGAGTGTAGTTGCGTCGGTTCGAATCCGGTCTGTGTGGGTAAAAATTTACTTCATTGCAGATCCATGGAATGAATCTTGACATTCTCAATCTGGTTGGAACAGATTGGTTATACCCCTGATATGCCAGAAATGGCCAGATTGATGTAAACGAAAAAAAACTTTAAAAAGTTGTGTTAATGATTATAGTGTGTTAGAGGTAATAAACTGACGGCTGAGCTAACTCAAGATCGACTCTTTACCCCTTCCACGATGTCTTGAGTTCCGGTGCCTATTGTTCTAATAATGAGACAAAGTGAATCCGATGGCTTGGTACCAAAACCACCAACAATCGTTTAGATATAAATAAAAATGAAAAATAAGAAAAAATTATATCGATAACTTTAAATCCTTTCTTTTAGCGAAATCCTGAGAAGCGCCATATATTCGAAACGCGTAAGTTCATAAGCTTTTTTTTTTTTTAAGGTGCTGTCAAGAAGATAATTACCTACTCTACTGTAATTGATTTAGAGTTTTTCCTGTGTAGTGAAAGTGGACACACTTCCGTTCTTCCTTCTAGTTCATTCCATACCGACTTATGATTCAAGATATTATACTTATTTATTTATTCCACCCTCCCATGCCACAATGGCAATACGGGTGTTTGCAATAGTGTGTTATTAGGCATGAATACTTAATAACACACTACTACTATATGTGCACTCAGTTCTTCTGTTCTATCTTCTTCCTTCTTGTTTCGGCCTAGCCTCCAGAATCTTCAGGTCTTCCTGGCGCTTGTCCTCTTCTTCTGTGGACACCATTACGGAAGTGAGCGGGCCCCACCACCGTCTTCCATCCATATATGAAATCCTTAAACCGCGGGAAATTTTCCTCGTTGACTAACTGAGGAAACTCATTTTCAGTGAGGACAAAGATTCCCGCGGCTCTTGTCATTGTACAGTTTCCGGAACACTACAGATTGGGCATAGAGGATCTACATCAATGCCCAGACCGTGAAGTTTAGCTCGAAATCCTCCATGCCCCGTGAGGAACTGAGAAATCCAGTAGTCCGGGAGGACCCACATTGCCTGAAGCCTCGACTGTACTGTGGGAAAGTATTTCCTTTAGGGGTTGCTAGCCACCGCCGGTTCCATGCTTCAATTGTATCCTCCCGGAGTATCTTCTTCCATCTATTAGGCGCTTCCATAATCCTCACCTCAAGATATTGTACTCTGCGTGACTACAGAATTGTCAAAGTATTGGTATAACATATGAAGCCAATATACAAGAGGTTTTTTAAAATCTTTTTGTTGTTTCCTATCTCGCCTTTTAGGCAGTAGGGTTTTTTTCCGGGCCGAGGGGTGAGGAGGCCATTTTCTTTTCAGACGCCTCAGAGTGAACTCAATATATTTTTGAAAAGCATGTGTCAACAAATCAACTTCGATGTCCAGTGATACAAACTGCATCAACACGTGCCAGAAAGGAAGAATTCCAGCGACATAGCTCAACTTCAACTTCCAGAGTCAGACCCTGGTCTTCTATATCTACGAGTCATAGATAACAATATTCCTTTCAATCGCTTCCACCGGCCAGCACCGATAATTAAAATGCTAAGTATTTCATAAACTATGTCATATAAACTTACCCATAAACGACCAACCCGACACGAAGGTTTCTTCTGATGTTAAATTATAAATTAAATCGTCCTAAAAAAAATAAACTTTTTTAGAAATTTTTGAAATAATAAGATTTCCTGGAATTAAACTATTATACAGATAACTTCATAATTTAAAATGCTAATCTGTGTCATTCTAATCTTCTTCTATTCTATAAACTCGGAAATCTATCCTTAAATCTTTCTATTTATGTGAACCTGTATAAATTTTCAATAATGTCTGATTAAAGTATTCAATGAAAAGTATTACCTACTCCAAGAATTAAAATTTTATTAAGTTATTTCTTTTGCATTATTT